TTCAGGAGGTGCTAGAAAAGGCTGAGTGAGGCTGCGTGGTGTCACGGAAGTGTGTATGGATTCAGGAAAGGAGGTGCCGGGTGGCTTCAGGAAAGACTAGGTGGTTTCAGGAGAAGCTGTGTGGCTTCAGGCTGGGGGAAAGTCTGGGGTGGTTCCAGGAAACTGATGGTTAAGGGTTGATTTAGGTGAGGTTTAGGGTTTGTTTAAGGCTCCCTTTGGGTTGATTTAGGTGTGGTTTTAGGTTTGGTTTAGGTTTGGTTTTAGCATGTTTTAGGTTTGGTTTAGGGTTTGTTTAGGGTCGGTTTAGGGTTGGTTTAGAGGTCTGTGGTTGCAGGAAAGGCTGGGGCGGTTCATGAAAGAGTGATTGGTGGTTTCAGGAAAGACTGGACGGTTTCAGGAAAGGCTGTGTGGTTTCAGGAGGTGCTGGGTGGTTTCAGAAAAGGCTGAGCGAGGCTGTGTGGTTTCACGGAAGTGTGATGAATTTAGGAAAGGAGGTGCCGGGTGGTTTCAGGAAAGACTAGGTGGTTTCAGAAGAGGCTGTGTGGCTTCAGGCTGGGTGGTTGTTTCAGGAAGTGGTTTCAGGAGAGGTTTGGTGGTGTCAGGAAAGTCTGGGGTGGTCCAGGAAAAGCTGCGTGGTCTCAGGAAAAGCTGCGTGGTTTCAGGAAAGGCTGCGCGGTTTCAGGAGGTGTCGCGTGGTTTCCGGCGAGGCTGTGGGGTTTCACGAAAGTGTGTGTCGCATATGATGTTGGAAGTCTGATGGTTAAGGGTTGATTTAGGTATGGTTTTAGGTTTTGTTTAGGTTTGGTTTAGGTTGTTTTAGAGGTTGTTGGTTTATGGTTGGTTTAGGGTTGGTTTACGTTCGGTTTAGGGTCGGTTTAGGGTGGTTTTAGGGTTGTTTGAGGGTTGGTTTGGGTTGGTTTTGGATTGGTTTAGGGTTGGTTTAGGGTCGGTTTAGGGTCGGTTTAGGGTCGGTTTAAGGTTGGTGTAGGGTTGGTTTAGGGTTGGTTTAGGGTTGGTTTAGGATTGGTTTACGGTCGGTTTAGGGTCGGTTTAGGGTCGGTTTAGGGTCGGTTTAGGGTTGGTTTAGGGTTGGTTTAGGGTTGGTTTAGGGTTGGTTTAGGGTTGGTTTAGGGTTGGTTTAGGGTTGGTTTAGGGTTGGTTTAGGGTCGGTTTAGGGTTTGTTTGGTTTAGGGTTGGTTTAGAGGTCTGTGGTTGCAGAAAAGGCTGGGGCGGTTCATGAAAGTTGGTTTAGAGTTGGTTTAAGGTTGGTTTAGGGTTGGTTCAGGGTTGGTTTAGGGTTGGTTTAGGGTCGGTTTAGGGTTGGTTTAGGGTTGGTTTAGGGTTGGTTTAGGGTTGGTTTAGGGTTGGTTTAGGGTCGGTTTAGGGTTGGTTTAGGGTTGGTTTAGGGTTGTTTGTTTGGAGAGGTCTGTGGTTGCAGGAAAGGCCGGGGCGGGGAAAGGCTGTGTGGTTTCAGGAGGTGCTGGGTGGTTTCAGAAAAGGCTGAGCGAGGCTGTGTGGTTTCACGGAAGTGTGTATGAATTTAGGAAAGGAGGTGCCGGGTGGTGTCAGGAAAGACTAGGCGGTTTCGGGAGAGGCTGTGTGGCTTCAGGCTGGGTGGTTGTTTCAGGAAGTGGTTTCAGGAGAGGTTTGGCGGTGTCAGGAAAGTCTGGGGTGGTCCAGGAAAAGCTGCGTGGTTTCAGGAGGTGTCGCGTGGTTTCCGGCGAGGCTGAGGGGTTTCACGAAAGTGTGTGTCGCATATGATGTTGGAAGTCTGATGGTTAAGGGTTGATTTAGGTGAGGTTTAGGGTTTGTTTAAGGCTCCCTTAGGGTTGTTTTAGGTTTGGTTTTAGGATGTTTTAGGTTTGGTTTAGGTTTGGTTTAGGGTTGGTTTAGGGTTTGTTTAGGGTCGGTTTAGGGTTGGTTTAGAGGTCTGTGGCTGCAGGAAAGGCTGGGGCGGTTAATGAAAGAGTGATTGGTGGTTTCAGGAAAGACTGGACGGTTTCAGGAAAGGCTGTGTGGTTTCAGGAGGTGCTGGGTGGTTTCAGAAAAGGCTGAGCGAGGCTGTGTGGTTTCACGGAAGTGTGTATGAATTTAGGAAAGGAGGTGCCGGGTGGTTTCAGGAAAGACTAGGTGGTTTCAGAAGAGGCTGTGTGGCTTCAGGCTGGGTGGTTGTTTCAGGAAGTGGTTTCAGGAGAGGTTTGGTGGTGTCAGGAAAGTCTGGGGTGGTTCCAGGAAAAGCTGCGTGGTCTCAGGAAAAGCTGCGTGGTTTCAGGAAAGGCTGCGTGTTTTCAGGAGGGGTCGCGTGGTTTCCGGCGAGGCTGTGGGGTTTCACGAAAGTGTGTGTCGCATATGATGTTGGAAGTCTGATGGTTCAGGGTTGATTTAGGGGAGGTTTAGGGTTTGTTTAAGGCTCCCTATGGGTTGATGTAGGTGTGGTTTTAGGTTTGGTTTAGGTTTGGTTTAGGGTTGGTTTTAGGTTTGGTTTAGGTGGTTTTACAGGTTGTTTTAGGGTCGGTTTAGGGTTGGTTTAGGGCTGGTTTAGGGTTGGTTCAGGGTCCGTTTAGGGTGGTTTTAGCGTTGTTTGAGGGTTGGTTTGGGCTGGTTTGGGATTGGTTTGGGGTCGGTTTAGGGTCGGTTTAGGGTAGGCTTGGGGTTGGTTTTGGGTTGGTTTTGGGTTTAGGGGTCGGTTTAGGGTCGGTTTAGGGTTGGTTTAGGGTTGGTTTAGGGTTGGTTTAGGGTTGGTTTAGGGTTGGTTTAGGGTCGGTTTAGGGTTGGTTTAGGGTTGGTTTAGGGTCGGTTTGGGGTTGGTTTAGGGTCGGTTGAGGGTTGGTTTAGGGTCGGTTTAGGGTCGGCTTAGGGTTGGTTTAGGGTCGGCTTAGGGTTGGTTTAGGGTTGGTTTAGGGTCGGTTTAGGGTCGGTTTAGGGTCGGTTTAGGGTTGGTTTAGCGTTGGTTTTGGGTTTAGGGGTCGGTTTAGGGTTGGTTTAGGGTCGGTTTAAGGTTGGTTTAGGGTTGGTTTAGGGTCGGTTTAGGGTTGGTTTAGGGTCGGTTTAGGGTTGGTTTAGAGGTCTGTGGCTGTAGGAAAGGCTGGGGCGGTTCTGATTGGTGGTTTCAGGAAAGACTGGACGGTTTCAGGAAACAGGAGGTGCCGGGTGGTTTCAGGAAAGGCTGAGCGAGGCTGTGTGGTTTCACGGAAGTGTGTATGGATTCAGGAAAGGAGGTGCCGGGTGGCTTCAGGAAAGACTAGGTGGTTTCAGGAGAGGCTGTGTGGCTTCAGGCTGGGTGGTTGTTTCAGGAAGTGGTTTCAGGAGAGGTTTGGTGGTGTCAGGAAAGTCTGGGGTGGTTCCAGGAAAAGCTGCGTGGAAGGCTGCGTGGTTTCAGGAGGTGTCGCGTGGTTTCCGGCGAGGCTGTGGGGTTTCACGAAATGTGTGTCGCATATGATGTTGGAAGTCTGATGGTTCAGGGTTGATTTAGGTGAGGTTTAGGGTTTGTTTAAGGCTCCCTTTGGGTTGATTTAGGTGTGGTTTTAGGTTTGGTTTAGGTTTGGTTTTAGGATGTTTTAGGTTTGGTTTGGGTTTGGTTTAGGGTTGGTTTTTGGTTTGGTTTTGGTCAGGTTTAGGGCCAGCTTCGGGGGTTCATTCGGGGTTCATTTGGGGTTAGGTTTGGGTCGGGGGGCGGCAGCCCCCCCCATGATGTTGGGAAGGGGATGTTGGGAAGGGTGATGATTCAAACAAAGGTACGCTTAATCTAAAAACACAGCGGGGGGTCGGGGGGGCGGCGGCCCCCCCCATGATGTTGGGAAGTACGGGAAGCCCAATCAGGAAAGGCCGGGTGGTTTCAGGAGGTGCCGGGTGGTTTTAGGAAGACTGGGTTGTTTTAGGAAAGGCTGCGTGGTTTCAGGCAACGTTGGGGGGGGGGGGGGTTCATGAAAGATTGGTTGGTGGTTTCAGGAGAGGCTTTGAGGTTTCAGGAGGTGCCGGGTGGTTTCAGGAAGACTGTGTGGTTTCCGGCGAGGCTGTTTGGTTTCAGGATAGGCGGGGTTTCAGGAAAGGCTGTGTGGCTGTGCAGGCTGGGTGGCGGTTTCAGGAAAGGCTGGGTGGTTTTAGGAAGGGTTGTGTGGTATCAGGAAAGGCTGGGGTGTTTATGAAAAACTGGCCGGTGGTTTCAGGAAAGGTTTGGCGGTGTCAGGAAATGGTTGCGGGAAAGACTGGGTGGTATCACGAATTCGGCAACAACCCTTTCAGAGGTAGCCTTTCGCGAAATTTATAGCTAAGAAGCAAAATTAGTTTCCTGAAGCCAGCATGCTTCTGGAAAACAACTATTAAGCTTCCTGAACACATGTTTCCGGAAACTTGCGGGTATTCATTTCGACCTTCTCGGGGTTGCTGACCCGTCGTCGGCTCGGGGTACCCGACCCGACCGGCACCCATCTTCTTTCGCCTAGCTGGGGACGCGTGTAGTTGTTGTTTGCAACTTCCTCCATTTTTGGGAAAGGTCTCCACAAGTGAGGGAAGGGGTGCTACCGTCCTGCTCATTCTTGTTTGTATTGTTTCCCTTTGAAAAGTCCCCGCGTGACTTGAGTAGCGACCTTGGTTTGCCTCCGTTTGTTCATGTTGTTTTTCTAGCTGGGGATGCGTGCAGTCTTTGGACATGTCCCAGCCAAGAGTAGGGACCTTTCGTTTGACTGCGTCTGCTCACGTTGCTCGGTATGTCATTCTGATGATGCTGAAGATGCAAAGCGATGCTGAAGGTTTAACGCAACCCAGCATTTCTTGTGTCCAACGTGCTGTCTGTGCTCGGCGGATGGGGGGGGGGGCCAAGAGCGTTCTTGCGTGAACTTCGCGAACTTTCTTTTGGCAAACTCAACCTCTCGGACCCCTCTGCCTCTTTCTGACCAAGCTCGGCTTGTTTGGCCCATCTTTTGGGCTCCTTCACACCTTTCCGGCCGGTTCGGAAACGCCCGGTGATTCAGTTTGCATTTCGGGTGTTTAGCGCGCAACAGGCCGTGTGGGCGCTGCTTTGGGGGAAGTTGGAGCAGAAGGATTTCGTCTTCGTCCAGGTCCACGAGGCGCCTATGGGAACCCAGCCTTAAGCCAAGAGGATTTTTCAACATTGCAGGTGTCCCACCAAAACGCACTCAGCTGGGATCCACTGGGGTTAAGTTGTATACTTGTATAACCATCAAGAGAAGACACCGAATGAGGTCTCTCGCTGCTTTCTGTGAGTGGCTATTCCTTGGGACAAACTAGTCATGAACATGAACCACCCAGACGGTCCTGGGCTTTGGTTTGCATTGCTCCCCCCGTTTCGGGGACTTGGTCTGGGCTCCTCCAGTTACCACTACAGCCTGTAAGGGGAGATCGTCACGTAGCTAAGGGCAAGAATACCGAGGGGTTACCTGTGGCGAAACGCCGAGGCGCTGCGGGTGGCTTTGGAGCCTGCGCACCAGGTCCAGTTGCGCGAAGCCATCGCCAGGCCTTCAGCTCGCGTGTTGCGCAAAACCCGAGATGGCCTTCGTGAGGTTTGGGGAAGCTGGGTTTGGTTTTCGTTTGGTTGATGGCTTTGGGAAGGATCGGTTTTGGGGGAAGCGCTGGGCAAAAGGCCGACTTTCAAGATGTGACTTCCACAGCTCTCCTTTTTCAGCCCAACCCTGGAGGAGATGTTGCGCAAGGGAAATATAAGTTTGCTTCCAAGCATGTTGAATAATTTTCAACAAGGGCAGCTTGGGCACGCCCAACAACAAGACACGAAGTCTTTTTCTGGTGGGAACGCCCTGCAGAATATGCCTGTTTACGCCAACAGAAAGAACCCACAGAACTGACTCTCCGGGCATGTGGGTGTGTGTTCTTTTAGGGGACCACCCAAAATGGTTGGTTCTTGTCCCTGAAAAAAAGAGAGTCCCCATAATTTGCAGAAGGCATCCCAAACACCTTTTTCATGGGATTCCGAAAGGCATGGGCGTCAAAGGGAATAAGGTGACAACTTTCTCACACTTCCTTTTGGGGTTCGGCTGCTTTTCTTAAACTACCGGACTATGCCAGTTTAATGGACTTTTGAGGGTAGCCCGCTTTTGCGATTTTTTGGAAGGGAAAGCAACAGCCATGACTTTGGGGGCTCAAGGAGAGAAAATACACCCGCAATTTCGAATCGCAGGTGGTCCGTGCAAGACATCGACGAGTGCCTGGCAGCGCTCAAGAGCTGTGAGGGCCGGTTTTTCGAGTACAAGGAGGGGTCCAAGGCGTCATTAGTCATTGCCAGAATTTACCTGAGTGTCAGTGTCAACCAACTTAAGTAAGTGATAACGGGTAAGGTTACCCCAGTTATAACCATGGTTGCCAGCTACTTGCTAAGTTGCTTGAACACCCCAGTGGCTTACCTTTTAACTTTTGCCCTTGTGGTTTTCCTTCATTTTCCCTTCGCACAAAGGCGGCTTTTTGTAGCGGTCGGATCTGTCCGGCCAAATTCTAAGTTGTTTGGCTTCTTTTTAACAGTTTTAGGGTTGACGTGTTGGACCTGGTTAAGTTCTCTTTGTGATTTAAAGGGGACTTTTCTTTGGGTCGATGAAAGGGAAACTAAAAGGACAACCCAAACCATTTTGGGGGTCCCCTAATAAAAGAGGAATCTTCTTGGCTGCCACTTGTCCGGCTCTGGCCATTTTCTACATGGCTGCCATCAGCACTAGATGTCTCTTTTTTTTTGTGCGTTAAACATTACAACTCCTAGTGGTTTGGTGGGGGAAGGTGTTAATTAGCGCCTTTTGGGAAGCTTGATTGACTTTCCTTTGGGATGATGTTTGAAAGAGACATGAGTCACTGACAATATTATTGGTAGTCTGCTATTGGTTTGGACGAGAAGGGGGACTGCTGAATTCCCCACCAAATCCAGCGGTTACCCCAGAGCAACCATCCGTAACTTTTCGTCTAGCGCTCGTGGATCGTATTTTGTGTGTGCGCACCCGCCGGTTTGAAAGGCAATTCTAGATGTCACCTTTTGAGCCGGATTTTGTAAAGTGAATGATCTTTTTGAAAGGCTGCAGTTTCAGCAGGGTTCCGACTGGGTATGGCTCCTTTTATCAGGGCCTTGTCTCGACCTCGTGCTATGGTTGCTACTAGTCGGCTCCCAATTGGTTTAAGGACATGGGGACAAACCCAAGGAGGGGCCCAGCTCCCATCAAACTATGTCCGTGACATGAACCCCGATCCAGACACCCAGCGGTTCACTTTTTGGAAGGGCGGCTTTCTTGCCCGTGTCCGCTGCTGCAGGACCATGCCATCCGGGAAGTGCTGGAGTGGGCCGGCTACGAGTCGGAAATCTTGGCCCTGCCGGACAGCCTGCGAGGCATGGGGCGAAAGCAGCTCTTCCGACGCGATTCCCAGCCTTGCTGCATTGCTCTTGGCACCTCTTTGGCTTTCCGTTTGCGCAGAAATGTTCGAAGCGCGTCAAGCGGAGACCGGAGAGCCAGGATCGTTTGATGCCGCGCGAGAACGGGAGAGCACTGCTCATAAAGGATGCCCTTCTTTCCCATGGGCATTTGAGGTGACAGAGATGCTAAGTCAAGGGCAATGAAATAAAAGTGACACTCGGCGGTTCCAAGCAAAAGGAACTCCTCAGGGCCGTGGAAGACCTGAGACAGACCTTTCTTGGATGGTCGAGGGAAAGACAAGCATTCCGGAGCCCAATTCCTATGTGCTCGGGTGAATCCATTGCGGGATCAGATGCACCCTGAGGTTGCCACTACCGGGCTGCTTGCCTGGAATTGCTGGAAGCGCGTCAGGGAGTCGACTGCGATGTCGATGCCACGAGCAAGTGGTGGGAAGGCCCGCGCTGCGACCGAAAGACTCATATCGCGTCCAAATCAAACAGATCCCCAAAAAAGCCCACATTGCTTGAATGGTGCGCCTGTGGGCGATGTCACCTGTGATCACCGGTACCGGTGGTGTCCTTTGGTTTCCTTTTAAAGCCACCCTAACTCGGTGCCCCGAATGACCCATGCCCAGAATTGACCAGTCGCCCAGGCGACACGCTCGAAGTTGCCACCCTGCCTTCAGCCGACGCCGAAGCTACGATCGATGAAGCCGAGGAACCAGAGGAAGTTGAGGAAGTTGAGCTCGAGGAACCGGCGGGGAAGGAGAAAACCGGGTTTGGTTTTGGGATTTGGATTGAGCATGGCTTAGGGAAACTGGGTTTGGGGTCCCAGTATGAATCCGCTTTGGTATCGCAGAACGGGCTGCACGCACCCACCATGCGAGGAACCCTAAGCGGGTTAACCTCTGGTCGACCAGAGTCTTGTGGTTCAGGGCACGAGTTCGCGAAGGGGATCCCGATCCCCAACTTATCCGCCAGGTTGAAAAACAAATATGTAAATTCCCTGAGAGTTGGTGGTTGCAAACGTTTTCATGCGACATCATTTCCACCAAGGGGTCCACAACCACGCTGACATTCCCATAAGTGACTGTGGGAACCCGCCTGAAGGAGTCTTAAGGTTCGACATCTGATCCCATCGCAAGGACGAGGTCGATAGGCCGAGCCGCCTGCCTCGGCCCCACGCGTTCGGCATCAGCACCATGTGGGACGACGAGGCGACGGCACTTGTGATTTTGCACTCACAAAAGTTCTAGACAGTTGAGCACGGGGTCCAAGAAACATGAGCATGGCAGATCTGTCATCCCATGAGATGTCCATATGACACGTGACTGCAGGAGTTGTTGGCTTTAGAGGAGGAGGAGGTGACCCGAAAACGAGCCTCGACATCAAAATTAGGTCAACCAGACTTGGTGCGGTACTCCATGTCTTGCTAGTGCGGTCGATTCAGCCAGTGTGAAAGCACCGGTTGCTTCAGCAAAGTAGCAGTGGCAGCATCACAGAGAGCAGACAACACATGAAAGGCTTGCTAGTTAGTTGTGTGTGGCCTGAGGAAACAGGGAGAACCGCGCCGCTTGCGAGATCCAGCGGAGTTGGAGAGCCGTGCAGCAGGCCAAGGATTGCACAGCTGAGCTTTGTAGCAGTCCTTTTTATGGCGGACGACGCCGACAGATTTTATAATCAAGGGAGTTCAATGGCTTGCGGCTTAATTGGTTGCACATGACTGCACGTGGCTCTCTATCTAACGCATTTCGCGCTGGGCCGAGATGAGCAGTGTTGAAATGCCCAAGGGCCAAATGCCCTTATCCACAGCCACAAAGTCAAGTGTACCCTATGCATTGTGATTGCAGGAGTTGCAGGCTTCGGAACAGCGGGCAGCCACAAAGATCTGTCGACTTGTGCGGTCCTGGCTGCAGATGCGCCGCCAACGAGCCTCGGCGTCGATTCAGCCAGTGTCAAAGCACCGGTTGCTTCGGCAAAGCAGGCAGCGGCAGCGGCACAGAGAGCAGACAGCAGATGAAAGGCTCGCTAGCTGGTTTTCTGCTTGCCTGAGGCAAGAGGGAGAACCGCGCCGCTTGCGAGATCCAGCGGAGTTGGAGAGCTGTGCAGCATGCCAAGGATTGCACGGGATGACCCTGAACGTTTCTTTTGCATCCTAACCCCAAGCCAGCATCACCCTCAACCCAATCTTGAACTTACCCAAGACTCACTCTAAACCCATCCCACCCTATACCCAGCCCGAAATCTACACTATATGCCTATATTACTATATTACCTGAAGCCCATCCTGGAACCCATAAGGACATCGCAAGCCCAACCCTAAAACCCATCCTCAGTTCTAAAGCCTTCCCAAACCAACCCACCCTCAAATTCCCAAAGCAATCCCTTTCCCCACCCAATAGTCCAAGCGTTCTCTGAAGCAACCCTAGCCTATCCTTAGCCAATTCCAAACATCCCCAATCCGAAAAACAACTTGAACCCACCAAAACCAACCCTAAACCTGTGTGCCGAGTGATAGGAGCTGCAGTCTCTGAAGGACAAAGAGGCTTGCCGGCAACGAGCCTCGGCAGAAGCAGGTAGCCAGTAAGCTGTCGAGAGCCTTCCGCATGTTCAACCGTGATTCATCAGCCGGTGTTGAAGCACTGGTCACTTCGGCAAAGAGGAAGCGGCAGCATTTAACGTGTTTTCCTGCAAGCATACAACAGATGAGTTTGTATTGTACCCGGCCATGTTTCCAAGCAAGTGGGTGGGCATTGATTAGTTATGCAACATGTGCGTGGGACTGCAGTTGCGGAAGGTTTGCCGACTTGCTGAGGCTCCGTGGAAGAAGAACATAAGTTGCATTAGCATGAACAACACTGGCCGCGGAAGCAAAAGTAACCACCATTTGCCCGCAGAAGCCCGCGGAAGCAATTCTTGACTAACCATGCTTGCGGAAGCAATGGTTGCTTGGGGGACGGGTTAGCGGAAGGTGGAATACCATTACTGTCACAGGAAGAATGAGAGAATAAGACACAAATCTCAGATTAAAGGCTCTCTAGTTGGTTTTCTGCTTGCCTGAGGCAAGAGGGAGAACCGCGCCGCTTGCGAGATCCAGCGGAGTTGGAGAGCCGTGCAGCAGGCCAAGGATTGCACAGCTGAGCTTTGTAGCAGTCCTTTTTATGGCGGACGACGCCGACAGATTTTATAATCAAGGGAGTTCGATGGCTTGCCAGCATTGTCTGTAACACCGCAATTGATGAGAGTAACACCGCAGAAAGTCTGGATCCAGTAACACCGCAAAAGTTGGGGGTACTGGTACTATGAGCGCAAAAATATACAATCTCTACAATGTAGTCTTCTTCCCGGTAGTCTCTTCCCTCTTCCCGTAGTCTTCTTTCCTCTTCCCCGAGAACCAACGCAGAACCTCGTCTAGTGTCCACCGAAGGCCTACGGAACCCCGTCCCTTCGGCCTTGGCATAGGCCTACCAACGCCCTTGCCTAGGGCCTAAGGCCTACACACCTCTCTGCCTACGCCCTCTCATAGGCGGGAGACCTATGCCCTTCCCCGAGCCCGGAACCAGCAAACGGCTCAAGATTGGGTTGCCAGCCAAAGTTGAGCCACAAATCTTGCGCCGTTTCTTCCCGTAGTCTTCTTTCCTCTTCCCGGGCTCGGGACAAGAGGAAAGAAGACTACGGAAAGAGGAAAGAAGACTACGGGAAGATGAAATCCTTTGTTTTACGTTTTGCGCTCGTAGTGCCGCCCTAATTTGCGGTGTTACTACGCAGCATTTTTTCCGCTGTTACCACCTCTATACTTACCGCGCGGTCTCAATGGCTTGCGGCTTAATTGGTTGCACATGACTGCACATAGCTGTCGATCTAACTTCGAGCAGTTTTGAGCAGCTCAAGCACATCCACAAAGGGCACGCTTGCCGTGTGCTTGCCGGCGTTGCAGGCTTTGGAAAAGCGGGCAGCCGCAAAGATCTGCCGATTTGTGCGGTCCTGGCTGCAGATGTGCCGACAACGAGCCTCAGAAGCAGGTAGCAGAAAGTATGGACTTGGCCTGAGCCCTTTTGTGAATCTGTTGCTCAGGATCTTTGACTCGAAAAGCCACAGAGGCACGGCGGACATTGCTTCATTTTGTGGCTTTGTGACTAGCGTGGAAGGGCCAAAAGCTGACGTCACAAACCCATGTTTTGGAAGTGAGAGGCGCGGCTACGCGTTTGGCGTCTTTGTGGCATCCACTTGATCACGAGCCAGCCGCTGCTGCTTCAGCTCTTCCAAGCCTGGTCCAGCTACAAAGGCCTGAGGGCGAGCCTCGCGCATGTCGAAATGTTTGCGGCGATGGAGGCGCCACGACTCCATGACTCCACCCTGACCACCTAAGACCACCCTATGACCAGCTATGACCACCACTGGTCAAGCTACCAATCACATCCTGTAGGGCTTTCCGCCTACATTCCGCAGGCGACGCGGCCGTGAGCGTGGTGGCTGTGCCCCGCGAGTTCCGGGAGCAGCCGATGCTGGCCGCATCTGTGCCCGTGGACAACATAAGATGGCAGCTGAGCTGCTCGGACCCTCTGTGAGTCGCAGAAGATCCAGCTCCCTCTGGGTTTATCACAGCGTTGAGTCGGTTTCCCGTTTGGCATACATGGGAAGCCAATAAACCCAGAAGGAAGCCAATGAAAAGTGGTCCCCAACATTTGTGGGTAGCTCCCCAAGTCCAGAGGCTTGACAAGCACACCTGACACATGAAAAATGGCCGTGAGGGACCCTTAGGACGGTTGACAAACCACAAATTTGGGGATTCCCCTATTTTGACACACACCTAATGCACCCGGCTGCTTTGAGGCGTTGGGGACCAGACCAAAAGCTTCCGCGCGCCCGGGGACAAGGTGCTGGGCAACGCGCTGAAACCCAAACATTTCGGGCTAGGTGCCATGCAAGCAAGAGCTCGGGGTTTTTTAAGTAGTAGCAGCAGTAGTAGCAGTGGCAGCGGTAGTAGCAGTATCAGCAGTAGTAGTAGCAGTAGTAGCAGCAGCAGCAGTCGTCGTCGTCATCGTCGAAGTAGCAGCGATAGTAGCAGTCGTAGCAGCAGCAGTAGGAGTAGTAGCAGTAGCCGTAGTTCGTCGTCATCGTAGCAGCAGCGATAGTAGCAGTAGTAGCAGTCGTAGCAGTAGTAGCAGTAGTAGCAGTAGTAGTAGTAGCCGCAGTAAAAACAGTAGTAGTAGTAGCAGTAGTAGTAGTAGTAGTAGTAGTAGTAGTAGTAGGAGTAGTAGTAGTAGTAGTAGTAGTAGTAGTAGTAGTAGTAGTAGTAGTAGTAGTAGTAGTAGCCGTAGTAGTAGTAGCAGTAGTAGCCGTAGTAAAGGTAGTAGTAGTAGTAGTAGTAGTAGTAGTAGTAGTAGTAGTAGTAGTAGTCGTAGTGGTAGTGGTAGTGGTAGTGGTAGTGGTAGTGGTAGTGGTAGTGATAGTGGTAGTGGTAGTGGTAGTGGTGGTAGTAGTAGTAGTAGTAGCCGTAGTAATAGTAGCAGTAGTAGCCGTAGTAAAGATAGTAGTAGTAGTAGTAGTAGTAGTGGTAGTAGTAGTAGTAGTAGTGGTAGTGGTAGTGGTAGCGGTAGTGGTAGTGGTAGTGATAGTGGTAGTGGTAGTGGTAGTGGTAGTAGTAGTAGTAGTAGTCGTAGTGGTAGTAGCAGTAGTAGCCGTAGTAAAGGTAGTAGTAGTAGTAGTAGTCGTAGTCGTAGTAGTTGTAGTTGTAGTAGTAGTAGTAGTAGTAGTAGTAGTAGTAGTAGTAGTAGTAGTAGTAGTAGTGGTAGTAGTCGTCGTCGTCGTAGTAGCAGCGATACTAGCAGCAGTAGTCGTAGCAGTCGTAGCAGTAGTAGCAGTAGTAGCAGTAGTAGCAGTAGTAGTAGTAGTAGTAGTAGTAGCCGTGGTAAGTAAGTAGTAGTAGTAGTAGTAGTAGTAGTAGTAGTAGTAGTAGTAGTAGTAGTAGTAGTAGTAGTAGTAGTAGTAGTAGTAGTAGTAGTAGTAGTGGAGCCTGTACCCTTAGGTGATTCCATGGAAGTTCGCAAGCGCTTCAGGGAGAACCCTGGTCCAGGATTCCTATTTTTCGGTACGCGATTCAACAAACTTGGGGAATCGCGATTTTCTTTGACAAGTAAACAAGATCACCTGTCTTGGTAAGGCCTGAAGGTTTGTTTGGAGGAACACCGCCTGGGAATCCCTCAAGCCTAGTCCTTTGCCTCGGGTTCGCTCTCGTGAAAAACACGTCTGTGGATTTGTTTGAAGGACACACATGTAGATTATAAGTGGTTTGGGTCCACATCTGTCCTCCTGTTTGTTTGCAGGAGTGTCCAGAACAATTACCAAGTGAACCAGAGGCCTTTCAAGCAGGTTGCCACTACCCTGTTCTTCCTCTGCCTCTTGCTGGGCGGGCTAGGGGGCAAAATGGGTTTCCTTCAAACCACGATTCGGCTGGTAATGTTTGTTGTATTTGGAGGCAGCCACAAACCATTGGCCGATGCTTTCCAAATGTCCTTGTCAGGGACCGTTTTTTTGGAAGGAAAGAAAACTAAGGTCAACCGCGAGGTTTTGACTTGAAACATACCCAAAGAAGGTCCGACGCGTTTGTCGCTGCAACTTTCCGGAGACCAAACATGCCAGGGGAAACTTGGACGACGGTCAGGGAGCCAGATGGCCCATAAATGCATGCTCATCGGATGGTACCAGGTCCCCTCTCGGGACACCCTTTCAAAAACTCACATTTTTATGATGCCAGTACACTCGGAGCTGGTTTCGCCACATTTGCCTTCAGCCGAGATTTGCGCTCCTCACTCTATACCCAATCCCGGCCGATCTGAGGTGGGGAGGACTTCTGTCTGGTCACCGAGGACAGTGCAGTGGAGGACTGGCAGTCGAGTGGCTTTTGTGTTAACCTGGGGGCGTTTCCCGAAGTTGTTTGTGCTCCTGAAAAAGGAGACAGCCCCCCTAATCAACCAGGCGTTTATTAATCCGGGGTCATGGTCATAATGTTGAGGGAGTTTCATAAGGGACGATTCCCATCGTGGTGTGTTTCTCAGAACAATCGCACCTTGTGGATGGGGGTGCGACCTCATCGGTATCGGTGAAGGTTCCTTAACAAATATTTATGTTGGGTCAGTGACTTATTTGATTCATCCAGATCTGGCGCTGAGCACAAGTTGGTGGACATGAATCCTCAAAATAAAACTTACACCCAGATGTGTGGACTAAAAGGGACCCAAACGGACAACCACACCTGTTTGGGGTCCCCTGCAAAAGACATACCAATGTGTGCCCATGTCTGGGACCATTTCAGGATGTGAAGAGCCCTACCCACGCCAAGCTGCGAGTCGTGCCCGTGGCCGAGGCGCGAAGCATGGGTGAATTCGACCAACGTCTGATGAACGGACAACCGAAAGGTTGCGGGGTCCCTATTCTGACACACAAACCAAAGCCCCTTCGCGGTTTCCTAGCTAAGGGAAGCGAAGGGAGTCTCCCCGTCGATACCCAAACAGCTTGCGAGCACACATCGGTGGGTGTGTCTTTTTTTGAGGGTACCTCATGTTGAATGGTTTTAAAGGAAACCAAAAGGAGGGGGTCAAAAACACATCTATATTATATTAGCGGTGTTTTTGTTAATGTCAACATAGGCTCTTGCGATGCATTGTCCTTGTACTGTCACGTGCTGGAAGCGCTACGTTTGCCTTCGATCTGTTCAATGCCAGCAGTACGTAGCACAATACCCACCCGGCTTCTTGGAGTTTGTTTGTGGTATTGGATTTTCCGCAAAGGATTCCTGCTAAAGGAAGCATTGCTGAGGTGTGGAAGTCGCAAAAGGTCTCTGGCGAATGCCGCAATTTACACTGGGACTGACGGAATGTCCCAGATTCCAGCGAACCATTTCCGCGTGTAGAGTAACGGCAGCTTGGCACGAACGTGAGAGCCGAGGTGCTGGATGTGCAGGTCCTCGGGGTCGGGGCGAAGTGGCAGCAGCAGATGCACCAAGACGCCACCTTGGGCAACGTGGCGGCCCTGATGGCGAGAGGCGATCTGGTTTTCCTGGAGAGACTTGGATCGGAGGTTGGTGGTTTGGAGTTGGATTTGCACAAACCAAACCAGGGAGGATGAACCATGGGATTGGGTTTGTCTCAACACTCGGGTACCCCCAACCCAGTCGGAAAAAACGACAACACCAGTGGTCGCCCTGGTCCAAGTAGTTTGTGCCACCCAATTGGGGGAAGGAACCCCTGATAGTTGATGTCATTTTCCAGACTCCAGCCTCAAGGCAAACGTGCAGGCCGAGGTTCGCTAAGAGCAGGGGCTAAGTAGGAAGTATGGGCGCAGCTCAGGAACCAGAGTCTCCTGCCGATGCACACAGTGCTTAGCTCTCGTCAAGCAAATGGCACCGTTCAGCTTCGGGCAGAGAGCCGCGACCTGAGCGTTCCTTGGGCTTTCGCTCGTGGCCCTTGCCCTTGGTCCCAGGCGCTACCCAGTGCTGGGCGATCCATGGCATCGAGCCATATTACGTGTCCTTGAGTGCAAATGCAGCGCAGCGGCTCGGTGGATTCATGGACTTGCTGAAAATCCGGAGAAAAACCAGCAAATCAGCCTTCAGCTTCGATCCCAACCAAAACGACGGGGTCTTAAGCAGCTCGATTTTGGACAAGCTTAGGCTTTGTGCAGCGGTCCGGCTGGAGGAGGACTTGGTGCTGTGGAGCGAAAACGGCCTGGTGGACACGCTGACAGCGGAATCGGGTGCCATGTGGCTAGAGCCACGGGCCGGGACTTGCAGGCGGGCAGGGTGCGCGAGAGGGCTAAGGCCGCGCTTGCGTGCAAATGGGTTCTGGAGGTTTGGGCTTAAGGGTTGGCCTAGGGCTCGGACCGTTTGCTGAGGCTCTCCTTGAAGATCTACGAGCAGCAGATGGGCGTGTGCGTGCTGCGGCGCGAGGGCTGTGCGGGGCTGCTGGAGACGCTGAGACGCCGGCTGGCGCTGCCGCGCCTCGCCCTGGTGCGCCGGACCTCGGAAGGCCTTCGAGCGCTCGCCTGGGAGGACGTGGCAGAGACAGACCACGCCGAGGCGCGCTGTTGGATGTCCCGCGTAGTCTCGGTCTCTGGTCACCATGGCTTTCTTACCGTCTCCATAGAGATTCTTCAGCGTGGCGTGCCAGAGAAGAGAGAGAGAGAGAGCTGACCGCCAGCTCCCTTCCGTCCCTCACCATTCCTTCCTTCCTTGACCAGCAATCATCCTCGCGGCTCAGGCTGTTTGGCGGACTCCCATTGGTCACCGCGAGACAAATGAGATAGAGATGACGGAAAGAGGAAATCACTTGCAACCGCTGGCAAGAAGTTGGCCACCCGTTTCATAATCTCATCCACTCACCGCACCCAAGAATGAAATGAACGACAAGTGAGCCAAAATAAAGGAATCATACTGGCACGGCCCAATCTCTTGTCCTTTCAATTGATACCACTATGAAGAACATGTGGAGGAGGGGGGGAAGGAGGGGATGTGCTTGTTGGATGTGTGTTGCGCAGCCCAGTGTCATATTGGTTCCCAGCCCTCGGCGTGTTACTTGACATGAGACGCAGGTGTTGGTGCAGGCTTCCGTGCACGGCATGGACGGCGCGTTCGTGAAGCAGGTGTTTGTGCAGGAGGACACAACGGCCGGAAGGATTCTGAGCGAGCTGAAAAGCAAAGAGGCTTTGGCAGACGCCGGTTTCTGCGTTTTGGAGAAGGACGTGTCGCTCTACAAGCGGGGCCTGGGCCGCGTGGAATCCTTGCACCTCACCACCCGGCAGCCGGTGCGCATCGCTGTGAACCGATCCACGGAGCTTCTGCTGGGGATGGCGATCCAGGCGAACGTGGGACACGTGGAGGCGGAGGTGTGGGCCTGGCTGCGGGGCGAGCGCACGTCTTACGGGGCGCAGTCGGCGCAGAGGGAGCTGTCTCTGGAGCCCGGGCCGTTGTGGTGCCATCTTGTTGCCTATTGAAGAAAAAGCATCTTGTGCCCCACCCATCTTGTTGCCTTTTGGAATGGAACATATGTTCCCCTACCCGTTTCCTTCCCAGCCTTAGCTCGCGGCTTGGAAAGTGAGGAGCCCAAGGAGAGCTTCGCCTTGGTCTGGGACTTCCAGCACTCCTGCAGCCGCCTCGAGGAGGGCTTCGCGGCGGTGCCGCTGTGGGACCTGGCGGAGCTGGTGGATGGGCTGGGCCCCGTCCGCATGCGCCTGGTGCGGAGAAGCGAGCTGATGCAGATGGAGGCCAGGGTCCTTTTGGAGAGGAACCCTTTTTCGGCTCTAAGAGGAGAGGTTGTGTTTTTGTTGGTTTGCCAAAGGTGCCCACATATCCAGGCATGCAAGCCGTGGGCTTCGAAGCCCCTTTCCTTGGGAAGCCGGAACCCACTCGGGCTGCGTCGGTAGGGCCCTAACAAAGGACACACCCATTTGTTTCAGCAGTTGCTTGAAACCAACTTACGACAAGGGCAGCGCCGAGGTGCAGCACCCAAACGTGCCTGGACTCCAGAAAGCAACCAGCACCCGTCTCTTGGTGCTCAAGGAGAGCCAGGTGGAAGGACTGCAAAACCAGGCAGGGGCTCGCTCACACCTAGAACGAGCTGCAGAAGCGCCACGTTGTCTACATGACCTCACCTAAACCCGTACCCTTGACTCAATATCCGCCTCCTTTTCGGGGAGAATGCATCACTTCTTGGGCATTGAGTATGAAGCTCCTTGAAAATCCTCGCTCTCATCGTCCCTGACTATTAGGAAAGCGTTACCACAAAATACTTGGAAATCCGGGCAACTCCAGCTCATTTGTGGTAACTTGGGATCTAAGTGACAAGGTACTTCGGATGGCCCACTGGTATCACAGAAAGGGACGATTTTCCACAACCAACAACTCGGCCGAACACAACCTGGAATAGGGATAGGTTTATTAATTCGGGGTCAACATCCAGCATACCCGTCCTACCGACCCTATCACATGGGTGAGGTTCGACCCCTGCAACCTGGTAGGACGGGGGATGTTGGTTTTCAACAATAACACTTGTTGAAACAGGTGTCCACCACGCGTGATGTTGTCACCCACAGCAGCCGCGCTGGAGCGCTGGCTTGGCTGAACATATTCGACCTGCGCAATGCACAGTGGGTGGGTATGAGAAAGTACGCACAAGCATCACTTTTGGGTTTGTTCAACATCCAGGGGTTTGTCAACATCCAGGGGTTTGTCAACCTCCAGTGGTCATCCAGGGGTTTGTCAACATGCAGGGGTTTGTCCACGTCCAGTGGTTTGTTGGTATCCCTTTTTTCTGGATGTGGGTGTCTCTTTTTGGGGAAACCTCTTTTTGGCTGGTTGTAAAGTCAAGCAAAAGGGAAGCCACCCATGCTAAGCCCCATGTGGGTTGTACCAAATCGAGGCGTGAATGGTGGGTTCGCGCCAGGTGGTGTCTCTGCAGCGGCTGATGGGCGCCGGTTGCCTGCGCGACGAGGAGGAGGGCATCCTCGACGGCACGCTGGAGCAGCTGCAGATCGAAGGCCGGCTACAGCTGGACCTCTGTAAGGAGCGGAAGGGGTTCCCGGGGATCATTTGCAGATTCCAAAACCGGGTAGGATTCCACAACTAGGCTTCCAAAACTAGGATTCAGAAACTGGTTTAACAGGCTTTGGTGTCAACGAAGCGCCAGTGCTGCCATTTGCTTGGTGTTCTTGGCGGGTGTAACCTTGGCTGCTGGCAAGAATCCCTTTTAGGGTTTTGGGGAACTCCTTTAGGGTTTCTTGTGGCGGGCGTGACTCTTGCTGCCGGGCGGTTTCTTTTAGGGTTTCTTGTGGCGGGCATTTCCTTTTAGGGTTTCGTTGGTGTTCTTGGCGGGTGTAACCTTGGCTGCTGGCAAGAATCCCTTTTAGGGTTTTGGGGAACTCGGTTTCTTTTAGGGTTTCTTGTGGCGGGCATTTCCTTTTAGGGTTTCGTTGGTGTTCTTGGCGGGTGTAACCTTGGCTGCTGGCAAGAATCCCTTTTAGGGTTTTGGGGATCTCCTTTAGGGTTTCTTGTGGCTCTTGTGGCGGGCATTTCCTTTTAGGGTTTCGTTGGTGTTCTTGGCGGGTGTAACCTTGGCTGCTGGCAAGAGTCCCTTTTAGGGTTTTGGGGAACTCCTTTAGGGTTTCTTGTGGCGGGCGTGACTCTTGCTGCCGGGCGGTTTCTTTTAGGGTTTCTTGTGTCGGGCATTTCCTTTTAGGGTTTCGTTGGTGTTCTTGGCGGGTGTAACCTTGGCTGCTGGCAAGAATCCCTTTTAGGGTTTTGGGGAACTCCTTTAGGGTTTCTTGTGGCGGGCGTGACTCTTGCTGCCGGGCGGTTTCTTTTAGGGTTTCTTGTGGCGGGCATTTCCTTTTAGGGTTTCTTGTGGCGGGCATGGCTCTTGTTGCTGGCCGGTTCCTTTTTTCGGTTTCTTCTGGCGGGCATGACTCTTGCTGTTAGCCGGTTCCTTTCAGGGTTTCTTGTGGCGGGCATGGCTCTTGCTGCTCGCCGGTTCCTTTTAAGGTTTCTTGTGGGGGGCATGACTCTTGCTGCCGGGCGGTTTCTTTTAGGGTTTCTTGTGGCGGGCATGGGTCTTGCTGCTGGCCGGTTCCTTTTAGGGTTTCTTGTGGGGGGCAGACTCTTGCTACTGGCCGGTTCCTTTTAGGGTTTCTTGTGGTGGGCATGACTCTTGCTGCCGGGCTTTTTCTGTTAGGGTTTCTTGTGCGGGCATTTCCTTTTAGGGTTTCTTGTGGCGGGCGTGGCTCTTGCTGCTGGCCGGTTTCTTTTAGGGTTTCTTGTGGTGGGCATGACTCTTGCTGCCGGGCTTTTTCTGTTAGGGTTTCTTGTGCGGGCATTTCCTTTTAGGGTTTCTTGTGGCGGGCGTGGCTCTTGCTGCTGGCCGGTTTCTTTTAGGGTTTCTTGTGGCGGGCATGGCTCTTGCTGCTGGCCGGTTTCTTTTAGTGTTTCTTGTGGCGGGCATGACTCTTGCTGCGGGCCGGTTCCGTTTAGGTCTTCTTCTGGCGGGCGTGACTCTTCCTGCGGGCGAGGTTCCCTTTAGGGTTTCTTGTGGCGGGCATGGCTCTTGCTGCTGGCCGGTTCCTTTTAGGGTTTCTTGTGGGGGGCATGACTCTTGCTGCTGGCCGGTTCCTTATAGGCTTTGTTCTGGCGGGCATGGTTCTTGCTGCTGGCTGGTTCCTTTTAGCGTTTCTTGTGGGGGGCAGACTCTTGCTGCCGGCCGGTTCCTTTTAGGGTTTCTAGTGGGAGGCAGACTCTTGCTGCTGGCCGGTTCTTTTTAGTGTTTCTTGTGGCGGGCATGGCTCTTGCTGCTTGCCGGTTCCTGTTTTTCGGTTTCTTCTGGCGGGCATGACTTGCTGCTGGCCGGTTCCTTTCAGGGCCGGCTCCATTTTTATGGTTTCTTTTAGGGTTTCTTTTGGCGGGCCTCAAAAATGAATCCGGCCCAGCGGGCACCCGAGGAAGACTCTGCCTTTGCACAGAGCACCACAGGGCACAACAGAGCACCACAGAGCACTACAGAGCACTACAGAGGCCCCAAAAAGATTCCGCCTAGGCACAGAGCACAGAGCACCACAGAGCACTGCAGAGCACCCGACAGAGGCCCCAGAAAGACTCCGCCTTTGCGCAGAGCACCACAGAGCACCACAGAGCACCACAGAGCACTACAAACACTTCGCCTTCGCACAGAGCACCACAGAGCACTACAGAGGCTCCAGAAAGACTCCACCTTTGCACAGAGCACCACAGAGCACTACAGAAGCCCCAGAAAGACTCCGCCTTTGCACAGAGCACCACAGAGCACTGCAGAGGCCCCAGAAAGACTCCGCCTTTGCACAGAGCACCACAGAGCACCACAGAGTACTTCAGAGCACCGCAGAGCACCACAGCAGAGCACCACAGAGCACTACAGAGCACTACAGAGCACTACAGAGGGCACAGAGCACCTCTGTAGACCGCAGTGCGCTACAGGAGCCCCAGAAACACTCCGCCTTTGCACAGAGCACCACAGAGCACCGCAGAGCGCCAGACCACCACAGAGCACCACAGCGCGCCACAGAGCACCACAGCACCACAGAGCACCACAGAGCACTACAGAGGCCCCAGAAAGACTCCGCCTTTGCACAGACCGCCACAGAGCACGACACAGAGCACCACAGAGCACCACAGAGCACCACAGAGCACCACAGAGCACTAGAAACAAGACTCCGCCTTTGCACCACCACAAGCGCTGCAGACCCAGAAAGACTCCGCCTTTGCACAGAGCACCACAGAGCACCACAGAGCACTACAGAGCACCGCAGAGCACCACAGAGCGCTACAGAGGCTTTGCGCAGAGCACCACAGAGCGCTACAGAGCTCACAGAGGCCCCAGAAAGATTCCACCTACGCACAGAGCACCTCTGTAGACCACAGTGCACTACAGAAGCCCCAGAAAGAGCACAGAGCACCACAGAGCACCACAGAGCACCACAGAGCACCACAGAGCACCGCAGAGCGCCGCAGAGCACTGCAGAGGCTTTGCGCAGAGCACCAGAGAGCACCACAGAGCACCACAGAGCACCACAGAGCGCCACAGAGCACTACAGAGGCCCCAGAAAGAATCCGCCTTTGCACAGAGCACCGCGGAGCACCAGACATCACCGTAGAAGCCTTTGGTGTCGAAGAGGATGTTAAACTAGTGTTCGAATACTGGTTTTCGAATCCTATCCGGGTGGTTTTGGAATATTATGGCGCCTGGTTTTGGAATATTTTTGCGACCGTTGCCGGGGGGTAAAACACCCGAAAAACCGGGTGGCTTTCAGATGTTTGGGGTATTTAGTGGTTTTGTCTTATTTTTAGTACTACTATGTTTGTGATGTTTGGCACTGCTTGTTGGTTCCTTGCTTGGCTCGCATTTGGTTTGCACACTGAGCAAGATGTGTTACCCCCCAAGCCACCGAAACAAAACACCTGACCTCCGGAAAAGGGGAGTTCTAAAAGGGCAGCCGAAAGGGGCTTCATAGCCAAATTTCAGATGGGGTCCCCTAACTTTGAAACATCCCCGGACGTCCGGATCCACACAAGCGTTTCATTAGCAAACAAGTTGAAACACACAAAGAGGCGGAACTACACTTGAGTGAGCAGACTGAGCAGATGATATTTATGTTTGGAGTGACTTGTTCTGATCATGTGGGGCGTGTGAGCGATCTGGTGACAATTGCGCCCCGATGCGGCATTGTTCTTCATTTTCCTGGCGAGGAGCCCCAAGGGCTCCCAACACTTCCAACATCTCCAAGACCCATCTCCCTTTTGGACTCACCCCCCAAAAAACGTATAAACCCGCCAAAACCAACCGCCCCCCACCCCCTACTGCAAACAGAACTAACCACTCCTCTCACCCCCACTCCCGCCTCTTCAGAGCTAGGATCCCATTTGGCTGGAGCTTCGGGTGGCCACGGGCAGCCCGGAAGAGTCCCAGCGCGCCTGGTTGGCCTTCGCGGAAACGGACACCCGCCAGGCCGCGTGCAAAAGTCAAAAATCGGATCCCGAAACTTGGGCCAAAGTCAGGCGATTCTTGGTAACCTTGGGGACGATCACTGTTAATTGCCCCAGGTATCACGTACAAAGTGGCTGAGCACCCAATGGGGTGGTCGCTTTGTGAGAGTGCCCTTTTTGGGGTAAAGGAAAACCGAACGCAAGACCGAGGTTCATTCTGGAGGGGTCTAACAAAAGGCAGACCCAAATGGACTTCGTTTTTCCAAGTTTTTCTTCAACCTTTGGGTGAAAGGGGTTTCCCTGGGATTGGGTTGTGCTCAAAACCGATTCGAGGTGAAGGTAAGGTACAGGGTAACTGTCCAACTGTCCTAAGGTTTCGATCGTCAACTGGGATCGTGAGTCTCCCCTTTTTCTGCGGGTTCTCTACGGAAGCAACTGGGGCTGCTCTCACAAAACAACTGGGCCAGCTAAGACCATGGCTTAAGCATGTTCACAAAGACCGAATCAGAGCAAACGCAATTCTTGAAGAAATGGGCCTCCTTGCTTAGACGATGGTTTCAACACTAAACCTTGAGCTGCTGTTTGGTGGACATGGTGAAAATTCATGTCGCCTGTTGAAATTCACAGCCAAATGGGAATGGCCCATCAAAATACGTTTTAAACCAATGTGAGGAGGGCACCAACTCAAACAGAGGAACCACGCGTGTAATTCCGTGTAATTATGGGTCTGTCTTTTTGAGGCTACCTCTTGTTTGGGTGGTTTTAAAGGGAAACCAGCAGGACAGCCACAAATCTTCTGGGGCCCTACAGGAAGGACCGAGACCCATCTAGCAACTGCAGGAGCTGCTGCGAGTGGCCCGCTGGGTGCTGGACATGCCCCAGGCACGCCTTCGGCGCGTTCCGTAGAAACCTCAAAATGGACGGGAGCGCAGTTTAGGGTTGATTCGTTTGGGTACTTGTTGTTTTGTTATTTCATTTTGTTTGCGGGGTGAGGGGAGGGGGTGGGGGAATTTTAGAATAGTTTTTTTCTACAAAGTGAGTGTTGGGTACCCTTTTTTTGAGCTACAGCCAAACGAGTTTTGTGACGGGTTGGTTCACTTTGAATTTGTGTTGCAAGAAGGGGAGGGAACCCATGCAAGCGGAGTTTCCACTCGACTTCTTCCAGACGAACACATGTCATGGCACAAAGATGTCTCCCCCAGTTAGAAAGCAAACAACCCCCCAACACATATCCACCCGCTTCTTGAGTTGCTTGTTAGAGGTGCCCTGATGGGAAGTTCCCATGTCAGCCTCCCCAATTGTCCTGAAGGTTTTTTGTGTTTCTTTTGCCGGTGACGCAGTTTCCGTGCACTGCTTGCTTGTAGAGGACGAGCAACACCTGTCAACCTGTTTGCTGGAACCCATGCAGGCTGTGGTGACAGAGCTCACGGCGGGGGGTGACATCTGCGATCTTGAGGCGCGACGTGCGGGGGGGGGGGGCCCTTTGAGTGCGGGTGCCCTGAAATCAAGCTGGTTTGAAGGGAAAGCAAGAGGAACAAAGGGGATTCCACGAATTTGGCAGGTACCTATTTGGATGGCCTTAACGGGAAATCACAAAGAATCCGAGTATGAGTCAGTGACGATACTTTAATGCCTCTGGCTCAGGCCGCCAACATTGCAAGCCTGCTCTCTTTCTGTGTCGCAATTTTCAGTTTGGAATTGCCCCTTGGAATTGCCCAATGGAATTTTCCCTTAGGGATTCTCCAATGGACTTGTCCCATTGGAATTCACTCATTGAAATTCTCCCTTTGGACGTCTCCCATTGGATTTTTTCCTTTGGAACTTTGACTTTGGACTTCTCCCGTTGGAATTTTCACTTTGCGCTTTTTCCTGTGGCTGTTTCCCATTGGACGTTTTCGGTTGGAATTTCCCATTGGAATTCTTCCATTGGAATTCCCCCGATAAAAGATCCCTCTGGAATTCTCCCAATCAATTTTTGCGATGGAGCTTTCCCCTCTGGACCTTTCCCTTTGGAACCCTCCCTTTGGAGTTAAATTGTCCCAATGGAATCTTCCCTTTGGAATCCTCCCTTTGGAATGTTTCCTTTGGAATGTTTCCTTTGGAATGTTTCCTTTGGAGTGGTCCGTTGAGAATTATCGCATGGGCATTTTCCCTTTGGACATGTCCCCTTGCAAGTTTCCCATGAAGATTGTCCATTTGGAATTATCCCATTGGAATTTTGTCTTTGGGATTCTCCCGTTGGATTTTCCTTTGCCCATTCGATTTTGCTCTTTGGAGTGTGTTGTTTACCCCCTTGAAGTCTTTTGGGATTTTCCCAGTGGACTTCTTTTTGGGAGTTTTCCCTTGACATTATTCCGATTGAACTTCTTACATTGGACTTCCCCGATTGTTATTTTCGCGATTTCGCAGTGGAACTCTTATTGGTTTTTGTTCCTATTGGAGTTCTCCATTGGATGTCTTCCTTTGGAATTGTCCCTTTGCAATTCTCGCATTGGATTTCTCCCGACTCTTCTTGAAAATTTCCCTTTGCAATTATCTGATTTTATTTCGCTGCTCCCATTTAGACTATCCCTTTGGAATCTCCCTTCGGAATTCCCTCGTATTTTCCCTTTGGATTAGTCCATTTTATTTTACCCTCGGGTGATGCTAGTGATATTGGGCTGGTGCTGAAGATGTTGGACAGTGGCCCGGATTTATTCTACAAGGGAACGTTTTGGGTGGTATGTGCCCTCCCGACTTTATTGGAAAGTCTTATCAGCGGACGCATCGTCGATTCTTGCTCCCCAACGTCCCCACGGAATCGAAGCTCCAATTCTCGCGCCCGTGCGGCCAAGCGTCATTTTGTGGTTGCTTGGAGTTCAAAGAAACTGGTCACCAACCCTTTCGTAACAAATTCCAAGAGCCCCTCGGTCACAAATCAAGAGGTCAACTTGGAAGGGGCATGGGACTCCACAAAAACCAGAACTTAGACTCACTGTTCCCAATTTCGGTAGCCGTGCATTTTGGAGCCCATGACTCATGACTCATGTGGGTGTGGTTCCTTTTCGCAGGGCTCATGTAGATTTGGTTCTGTGAAACAGGTGTCACCTTTCGGCTGCACCCTTCTCCGGAGACCCCGAGCGCAGGGGCTTGAGGAATCCATGCGGGACTTGGTCACGGCGGCGGAGGAGAACGACGCCGAGATCGTGCTGACGCTGGCGGCTCCATTCGGGTGCGACGTGGAGGAGATCCTCAAGTTCGGAGTCAGCCGGGCAAAGGAGAAGGCTGGGTCAACATTTCTCAGATATCATGATATCTTTACCAGTTGCTAACATTATGATGGAAGAAAAGATGAACAACTCCCAGCTTTTTCTGGTTGAACGTTCACCAAGCAGGAGCCCAAGGAGAAGGGCTCTCACAGCCTGATGTCTACGACGGAGGCAGGGAATCAGATGTGATTTATTTCGTCCCCGTGGCGTATTTGTGACTTACATTTCTGGCGAGTCAAAAATCGGTGCCCCACGCTACTCCACTTCTGCAGGATTCCGAGGTGCTTGCGAGTGAGAGCGTGCAGTCTTGGAGTATGGTCGACCTCCAGCACGCCAGAGGAGGGTGTTGAGGCAGCAAGTCCCCCGCCTCGGCTTGATTACACTGCACCGGCGGGGTGAATCGTTTGATGCAGTGGAATTTCTTGCATTTTTGGACAGGTGTCAAGTGAGCCACAATCAAAACTGAAATGGTAGATGAAGCTTGAGAGCGGGACTTATAACCTTTAGCCATAACCCCAATCGAAAGGTTTTGATTGTGCATATAGCTGGCCGCTGAGCAAGAGCTTTGGTGAGCCAAGAAAGCTCCGATGCCTTTAATGCCTTGCCTTTGCAGGGCGGTTCCCATCAGCTAAGCTGGTTTGCTAGAAGCTGCATGTGGGTGTGTCTTTTTTTTTGGGCCCCCCCCCTTTTGTTTTTCGAAGGCATTCGGTACGCATTTCCATAGTTTTAGGGGGGGTCCTTTTTTTGGAGACAAACCCATGTCTTCCGCAGCACAGATTTATATCACGCAAGTCATCGAGTCGGTGCAACACGGGGCCTTTGTTCCACTGCCGCGCGCAAGCCAGATCCACGGTGACAGCTTGGCAAGCAAACTGCAAAGGTGCAAAGGGAACAGACAAGAGCGTTCTTTCAGGGCACTGGGTTTGGAGTTTCAAAGGGATTTCCATTGAGCACCAAAAGGAAGCCACGTTTCAGGGGTTCCCCCATTTCAAGACCCACCCAGTTGGATGAGAATGTGCCGCTTGCAAGTTTCGTTGTTTTCAAGTCACGGTTTCTATCCCGTGCTTTCAGATTTCAATCAACATGGAAGGGTATTCCGTGTTCATTGTATTCTTGCATCCCTTCCTCTCTGGAAGATGTATTGTCTTGAAGCGCCAATGTGAAGTGAACCAGCAGTGGTCCCTGTGTTCAAGATCCGTTTCATAGAACCTTTTCATTTGCCGAGCCAAGGGGTGAGCTGCCTTAGTAACCTGCGCGGCTTGGACCTCTGCCGAACCAGCTCGCCGGCAAGGGGACCCGTGCGCCAGTGGTGCGCCATGGCCAGTGGAATGGATCCCAAGTTGGGATTCGAGTCCCGCAAGGAGGCACGGTTGGCATGGGTGTGGGCTGGGGATCGGAAACTGCAAGGAGATTGAGGATCTCAAGTTTCAGGCCATAAATCGTGACCCGGACGGATGATTGGCTCAGTGGCTTGCCTGGGGTTCCCTGGCCGCAGGCGTCTGGAAGGCTCTTCACTCGCTGGAACTGGGAGGGTGAAGAGGCAACGGAAGCGGAGCGGCCAGACGGAACTGTTGGTGATTGAAACAGGGTGGGTGATTGGAGCATCTAAGAGATGGACAGACTTAGGTTATGGAAGGATTTGGGTGATTTCCACCAGCAGATGGAAGTCGCCACTGGAAGAAGTTTTCAACCTTCAAGGGTGCTTGAGGTGCATTTTCCCGCCGCTCAGGTGGTTGACGGCCGGGGGTTGCCCTTGGTAGTCCATGTGAGGCAGGGTTGCAGCGAACTCGCGGAGCTTGACAGGACTTGGTGGTCCAGCTATCCAGTTCCTTACGTTCTTACGTTTTAGGGTTTAGGGGTAGTTTCCACCAGTTTACTATTATTGATTTGGTTTGACGTGAACCAAGCACCGAGCACTAGGACACCGGGCCCCAATTTGTCCCTGTCCCGTTTGGGGAACGAATAGCTTTCTCCGTTCACTCCATCGAAGTCGGCAGGCAATTCGACCGGAAGAGCAAGAAGGCGTGCGATGCTCCGGACACTGAGCCAGCTCAAAGTGTAACGCCGGTGTTTGTGGTTCTTTGAGGGTACCCTTTTCAGCTTGATTTTGAAGGGAACCCAACAGGAAAACCACCAATTCATACCCAACTGGCTGTTTCCTCGACAAACATTCAGCCTTGGTGTCCAAATCCCTATTTTGGCGCATGGCCACGCAAGGCATCGGCAGAGGATGCTAAACCAGAGCTTGGGGCTGAGCTCAGCGTGGAGGTCTAGGAGCTGGACGTAAAATCCGCGCCGATCGGCACCAGTTGGGATGAAAGAAGCCCGATCTGAGCACTTTATCAACGACCAATCCCAACTGCTGATCTGCCGATCGGCCGATCGGATTTTAAAGCCCACGGTATCTTTGAGGACGTCCCGAAAGTTGCAAAGCTCGAAGATCCTTGAGCATGCAACGGGGCCTGATTTGTTTAGGCCAAGCCTGCAGGCTTCGCGGAGCACTGCGAGATAGGCCCAGAGCCCGGAGATTTCGACACGCGGCCAGGGACCAAAAATTAGGGGGGGACGCTTGCCTTAGCCTGAAAAGGGGTGACCTTCTCCGACAAAAAAGACAACAACAAGCATTCAGGAATCCTATGTGCACGGCTGAATGCACTTCTGAGAAGATTAGGCAGCGAGTTTCGGCCATGCCACCCAGAATGCGACAGAACAAGTTCCAGGCGTTCAGATGGCGTGCCTTTGGAGTTATCTTGGGGCTAGTAGAAACGGACACCAAAGCAGAAACGGTTCTGGCAGCGGACGGAAAGCAAAACAAAACATGGAAACAAAGCCCACTTTGCGCGTTACCACACTCAGAGGCAAGCCCAACTGCAAGCCACATGGGCAGAGCCGCTACTCCGAAGGTGCCTAAGGTTGGTTCGGCATGAACAACCAGGGAAGAGACCAACTATTCAATCAAGGGATAGCCGCTTAAAAGGGCCCCCCAAGCAAATTCAAGAGCCACTTTTTCTTCACCTGTGAGTTTCTGCAAATGATACATAGTGGCACATTCACCGATGTTTCAGGCATGCGCTTGGTGCGGAGCGACCAAAAGCAGGGCGCCCAAGACGAGCGTCCAAGTGCCTAATTTCGGCACCCAGATGTTTCATGGATGTTTCCATGCTTCAACTGCGCCGTTGTGTCTAGTCAAAGCACGCCTTCCGCGCAGCCCCTCGACCATTCCCGAGTCCCAGGTTTTGGCTCACCAGCTCGGTGTTTTCCGACATAGAAATAGGTTCAGATGCGCTCGGCAAAGCTCCGAAGGCCGCTTTGGTTGGGATTTTTCGCCCTGGCCCTTGGCCGATGGGCCGTCGGCTTTGTTCCAAGTTCGACACGGCGCTTTCTGCTGTTGGCCGGAGTGTTCACTGGCCAGCCGGCATTTGCAGAATCAGGGATCGACATCTACTTCGGGCAGGGGTGCTTTTGGCATGTCCAAAGAGACATGGTGAAGTTGGAATCGCAACTCCTGGCTCGGAGCAGCGGGAGCGAGGTCACTTCCGTCGCGGGATATGCGGGAGGTCAGTCTCAAGGCAAAAAGCCGGTTTGTTACCACAACCTCGACTACCCGCTGCGGGATTACTCCAGGTTGGGCCACGCGGAGGCAGTGAAAGTTGCAGAGGTGCCGGAAAGTAAGGTGGCCGCCTTTGCAAAGGCCTACCTGGATTCTGTAGCATCCCAGCTACCCGCTGGGCGGCCCGACGTGCAAGACGTGGGTCCTGAGTATCGGGCGATGATTGGGCTGCCTGGGGGCGCCAAGTCCAGCGTCTTCCCCGAAATCGTCGCGGCCAACGACGGGCGAGTGAAACTCGCAGTGGGACAGGGCAGCGATCCAGATACCGCTGACACCCAAGTGGTCTGGGTCTATGATTCTGACGCCTTCCCCTTCTACCAGGCCGAATTGTACCACCAGTTCCACGATGACATGGGGACAAAGTACCCTGCAAGCTACAAAGCCCTGAAGGATGGACTGCTGAAGAAGGGGCGACTTCAATCCGTCCCCGGACACAAACTTGGGATATGGTACATTTTCATATCCGGAAAATCCCAAATGAGAGCACTCCCAAAATGTGTTCACTCTTTCTTGTTTGCCATAATTTGAATGAACAACAGGTTCGCACACCAAACGCAACAATCTGGTCATAGGGCGAAAGTTCACTTCGCTGCAGTCGGATTGGTGGTCAGTCAAGAAGGTACACAAGTAGAATCAAATCATATTTGATGCTTGACACTCAGTGATGCCTTTTCCCCCTTTCTCGTATGCGGGTGCAAAATGGTGGGTTTACCTGTAGATTTTCCTTACCCAACCTAACGAGTACTAACTCCACAAGCACACCCCGATTATTCCATAGCCACTGTAATTTGTTTCTTGGCTTTTGCTTCCCCTTGAAATGACCAAAAACGGATCCCCGTCAGGAAACAAACACTAACTAGGTCATATTTGTAGGTCGTCATTGTTGCCTTATGAGGAATCTTGGTAAGGGTTAGCCCCACTTGTGTGTGTCCTGTGAAACCAATCAACCAAAAAGTGGCCCCACCCCACTCCTGCAAAGCTAAAATGAACTACACCACTCCGGACATGTTTTGGTAGCCAAGGTCAGCTGCCCGGAGGAGGAGTTTTCCGAAAACCCGGACATGTCCGACGACCCCATCAACTTTGGAGCCGCTGGGGATGATCCCTTTGACAAAGTCATCGGGATCTTTAAGGACCGGTTTGAGTTCGGTTGGTCTTTTTTGGGGGGGTTGCAAGAAATGGGCTGGTTTTCCAACGAAGGGTTGGATCAAAGCTCCACTTTGCGGGCAGGTTGGTTGCAAAAGTTGTTGCAGGGTTCGGGTTGGCTGCCAACCCCTGGACACGTTTATACATAAGATTACATAAGCAGCTTCCTTTTGGACCATGGAGTACTTGTTCAAAAGGAACCCACCCATCCCTCGTCAAGGGGTTGGTTGAAACTTGTGTGTGTTTTTTACAACCAGCCTTTGCTCCCTCCCCACCCTTAGGGAAACCAGGCGGAAGTTGTTCAAGCAATAGCCCTGGTTTGCACAATATCGCCCAACCCTGAGGATGAGCCGCCGATGCCATCCAAAACTGGCAAGACGAAGTTCGAAGACTTGGATGTCGAATGATTCGAATCCAAAAAGGCGAAAAGGGCGTCAGCTCATTCCGGAAAGGGGGGGGAACGAGAGATGCCGAGCCGTGTGAAGACCTTTTACTAATGGAGTCCAACCAAAATTCAGGTTGGCGTTTCACCTTCCATCTACCCCAAGGATCCGATCGATGGAATTTGGGAGATCCTCAAAATGTCCTTTTGACCCCCCTTAAGCAACTCAGGGTGTGGTGCGGGGACCCCGGGTTTTGCATACCAAACGCCAGGACCCGTAGGGTAAGCAAAGTCTTGCAAAGACCTCCTGTCAGGTTCCACAGGAGAAAGGTTCAGATGTGTCGTTTTGGTTGCAAGACGCTATGCGCCGATGACCAATTGGGAGACGGACAGAATAGTTTGTTTTGGCGAAACAAGTTGACAGAGATGGGTTGCATTCCATGCATATGCATGCCTCAATGATATATGCCGACTGTTTGTTGATCGTGGATTCACCCTCGTGAATACTCGAATCGCTGCTCAACAGATTGTTCTTGCCAAGTCACCCCACATCCTGGAAGCTCTCACACACACAGATACACACCAACAGATCGCTGAGCAGCTTAGGTTGTGACGGATGCGATGCTGCCATGTGGCATGAGGTGGCTCTGTGTGAAAAGCCTTGCCGGAAGCATTGACAAGCGCAATGGAGATCTGTACTGCTTCGTTTATCCAGGTGACCGGTTTGGTCGCGATCCACAGAATGGGCGGTGAATGAAGAGGCACTCTGTGGTCGAGTGGCTGTGGGTCAAACATTCCCAAACTGGATTTTTGGCAAATGGAAGCATGGTTTAATCTTGACCCATACCCAAGTTGTTCTCACGTTATCTCAGTCTGTGACGCGGTGTCAGAAACCTTTTGCGCTGACTCGCTTGAGCGTGCGCGTTCATCATCCCAGACGTGTCAGGCTCCAGGCACCTCAACTCGCTTACGATGATGGAATTGCTGACCGGATGTTCAGTTTGCCACTGAGAAATGGCTGTGTGTTTTTTAGGGGACCCCCACAATGGTGGTTTCCTTTTGCTTTCCCTTTCAAGTCAAAACGGACGCCCTCATAAAAAGACATACCCGGCCGATTTCGCATTTCGGCACTCGCGCAAGCGGGAAGAGCGGGAGAGTCTGAGGCTGAGAAGCCGAGAGAGTGAGACCTCAGAGCTGAGCGTCGCCTTGGACGGCTCCTCAATTCATCCGCCGCAAGTCATGTCGAGGCAAAGAGGAATGCAGGGGCAGAGGTTTGAAGGCAGAAAAGGTAAACGTGCGGGTCATGACATGTGATGACTTGATGACCATCCCTTGCACTCACTTGAAGTATGAAATAGGTAAAATTCGGACCAACATGGTCAGACATGGAAAAGCTTCAGTAGGCTCTACGCCTGAAAGACGCCAGACGTTCTCAGCTGTTTGGAATGCATTCCGCAGGCGTTAGCCTCAGACCCAACTTGCGGAATTCGTGCAATGAGACGAGCGCGGCAAGCAGACCTGACAAACTCCAACACAAGACATGACACGCTCAAGACATGAATCCGTCTGTGAGAGGCTGAATCGATTTCACCCAGGTTCAAGGCAGGTGTGAGGAGTTTGGCCACACATCCTGAATGCGAACAGTTCATGGCAGCCAAGTTTGTTGACTATTATGCGCTGCCGCTGCCTCAGTCGAGTTCGCGACATGGGCAACTCGTTGGCGCGCCCTCAGCGGAATAAATTCAGAACCCCATTCCAAGAAGGTTTCATTCCGAACTTTGAGTGGCTCCGAAGGGCCCCCAAACCGCTGAAATTTGAGGGGTTCTCAGTGCTGTTGTGGCTGGTTTCTCTGCAAACCACGACTTAGAGGGACATGTTGATGGATCCAGTTGCTCGAGGCTGGGCTGCTCACCGAGTTCCACCCACTCGGCTGGGATCTCAGATACACATTCCTAGCCTCTCCACCCGTGAAACGGGCCGAGGAGCTCAAGCAGGCGTATCACGAGAAGATCCGCGAGTTCCATCCAGATAAGCGCCCGGACAGCCGGGAGGGTCGAGGCAAGAAGATCACCGCGGAGCTGCGCCTCGCAAAAGCTTCGCGGAATGAGTCGCATCTCTGAGGCTTCCTGCCGTCGCGACCACGGGGGGAAGAACCATCATGTAAAAAGGTAAGAAGCCCGGTCCATCATAGCAAAAAAGCTGGGAGCACAAACCTGGACCTAGAGTCAAGCGGCGCCCTTACCTTCGCACGACAATTTCAGAGGTCTTCATGTCGAGCCCAGCAGCACGGGAGGGGTCAGAATGATCCAAGTGAATCCAAAAATGAGGGTGGACCACCCATTCATCAACCAGAGGTTCCTTGATCGATCAACAATGTCACTATCACTCAACCAGAGGTTCAGGAATGCCTACCAATCAATCAGAGGTTTCTAAATGGGTGTGTCTTTTCTTAGGGGACCCCCAAGAGTTTTAGTTTTCCTCTTGGTGTTCCTTAAAAAAGAAAAAACAATCAAGGGGTACCTTCAACAAGAGAGACCCAAATAATCAACGAAACCAGCCTTTAAACACCTTTGACAAGACAATTCCTAGTTCCTTGTAACGGCGAAACGCCTGGGATCCACTGGGAGAGAACCTGGAAATCACCTCCGGCCGGCCTGAGGAACGAGGCCTGGGAGGTGCTGAAGGACAGCGCCCGGCGCGACGCCTACGACAAGGAGTGGCACAGAAAGGCCGCCCCCGGCGCCAGCGGCGCGCCCGGCGGTGCGAGCAGCGCCGCGAGAGACGGCGCGAGCGGCGGCGCGAGCGGCGCGGACGAGTGCCGGCGCGCGGGGAACGAGCTCTACCGCGCCTTGGGTCAAGCGGCACCAGTTGTCTGTAAACCTATGGTACTCTGAAACTGGAATAAGAGGATATCTACCGTTTGAAAGTTTGGTATACCGTTTCAAAAGCTTTACAAAGAAATATGGTGTCCACTTGCAAACAAACCTGGTGCCATCTTGAATCTTGACTGATGGAATAGAATCTGTTCGTCAGTTTGAAGGTTTCAATGGGTTTCTGGCTGATTAGGGTGTTCACCGAGGCGCTGCCTGCGCGGTGGCCCAAAACGCCGAGGCCGGCGGCACCTTTGGGCCCGAAGGCGGGAGAGGAGAGATGGGGTGGCTGGAAGGATGAAGGAAGCCAAGTTGGTTTCCCTTTGGTTTGGCTTTCCTACGGCCTCTCACATGGCTGTCGGTTTCCCGGCAAACATGTGCAAGCCAAAACAAACTCGAAGCAGCATTGTGAGAACATCGCGTGACAAATCCCCAGATACGTATCGCGTTGAGCTGGTTCAAATAAACGCGTTCCAGCGACCCCATTTGACCCCAGGTGTTCGACCCCATTTCGTCTCATGCTGGGATTTCCAGGAGATGGGTAGGATAGCGGGCTGACTGCAAGGCATGACGTGGGTGAAGCTGGCTCTCGAGAAGTACCAAGCGGCCATCAGCATGTACTCCAAGGGCTGCTTGACCAAAGTCTGGGCATCGGCCGCTCGAGCCCGCTGGGTTGTTTGTGGGTTTCTCTTTTCAACTCACTCCCTGGGTTCCTGGACTTCATACCTTGTTTGCAGACCATTGTAGTGGTGTTGGACTTTCTTCTTCGCCAATCCACTGAGGAAGTGAGTTAATCACCCTTCGTCCTTTTTCAGTTGCCATCCAAGAGCGGTTCCCCTGGGGTTGACTTTCAGATGCAAGCGGTAGGCCTCGCAGCGGCTCCCGATGACCATCGGCTCTTGAACAACAGGGCCCTGTGCTTCGCGGCGCTGAAGATGTGGCCAAAGTGTCAGGAGCCGTCGGCCTCGGCTTCCATCGCAGCGGCGAAAGGTGTGTGCCCCTTGTCTGTTGAAAGGAAACCCGCAGAAAAACCTTCTAGAGCATTGAGATTCTGTTGTCTATTCACTTTGCCCCCAAACGCAGTCGCAGTTGCAGGGGACAGCCGCAACTGGCGATCCGGGCAAGTCCCCATGTCGGGGGTTCAAATCCCACGTCCAGCGCTCACACCAGGAGGATGCCCGGCGGGTCACGGAGGTGAAGCAGGACTTCAGGAAGGGATGGTTCCTCTTGGCCAAAGCGCTGTGGAAGGACCCGCCCGCAGTTTTTTGGGTTGCGGGTCTGGGGTCAAATAGATGCCGCATAGTTGTGTGCACTTTGTTGATGCCCGTTGGAAAAGGTCCTCCGTGGTTCCCATTTTCGGTGAGCAGCCGAATTTGGGGTGACCTCAAATGGATGCAACACAAAAAAGAATTGGTCCGACACAGGCCATTTGTGCAAGCGATCGGAGCTTGTTTATTAGAACCCGCTTACAAAGCGCCCCCAGAGTTTTCGGTCTTGAGATCCATGCCCCAAACGAAAGGTTTCTTGAGGAATGGTCCCAGCCCATATCTTATGCGTGGCTGGCTGGACGATCATTTGGGAGCGGGGCTGCATGGGCCTTCTTTTTGCTTTGCCGGGGATCGGCTCTTGGCCTTCGAGGAGGGGCGGCCGGAAGAAGCGAAGGCGGAGCTGGAGAAGGCGCTGAAGCTGTTGCCCGACTCCCCGGAGTTGCTGGAACTTCAGCCGCTCGGACGCGAACAAAACGAGCAAACAATTCCTTCAGTTGAGCCACGTCCAATCAAAACCAATTCGGGAAGATGAAGGTTACCAGGTGCCCCAGTAGTGCCCTTTTACCCTTTTTTGCGGGAGGGTTCCCCTACTAAACTAGACTACAGAAAAAAGGGTACCCTTATTCTAACCTCTCTACTGGAGGAGCTAGGTTAAGGGATATAGTCACAACCATGTGTGCGGACACCCGCCTTCATAGCTCTTTACATGGTTCTGGGTACCAGGTTTTTGATCCTGACTCAGTTGGCTGCGCAAAGTCAGCCATATAGCAGTCCCGGCGCTTCCAGCTGCAGCAGGCAACTTTTTCCCTTAGGTTTTACCACGGTTACCTTGCTCTGGCCACTGTCTATAGTGGCAACTGGAAACACTGGGATGAGCTACAATGCGGGAGTGGGAACAACTTACATGGAACTGGCAGCTATCAGCTTTAGTGACCCCCCAATTTCGAGATACATCCATAGCCATAGTTCCAACCGCGAAAGTTGAAAACCAGAGGCGAATTTCCCGTTTCCTTGTTTACAGGGCTAGAGTTTTTGTCCATGCCTCGCACTTCCGATAGGCTTTGGTTCTTCACATTGTACACTTCTGGCTTCAACTTTGACTTTTCATGGGGAACCCTCTTTTCTGAACAGTGCACACATCCTGTTTGTTTTTTGCTCAAAAGAGGCCAAGTCCACATCAAGCATGGCTCCGTGGAGTTGGTTTTGCCCAGGGTCCTTGTAACTCATGGCCGCTTAAGCAATTTCGAGCAGTTTTGCGACTGCAATGTTTGGGAACCACACCCTCCGCTCAGCACCCTTGTGAGGGTTTCCATGTTGCAAAGAGGACAGACGTGTTTGTCTCAAAATGGACCCCCCCAAATTAAATATATATATATATATATATATGGGTGTTTCTTTGCGGTTTCCCTTTAACACCATCGAACAAGGGCACCCTCAACAAGAGACCCACCGAAATATATCTTCCAAGCATTGCGCTGCGGGAAAAAGCAACCTGCACCATACAGCACCGATGTGCACCAGAGGGACAGAACTGCATTATAGATAGGTGGCTCATTGCTGTCTTTAATCCCAACTGGCGCGGTGTGTGGATTTTGTGGATCTATCCGCCTCCCTTGCCAAGGGTTCTCTATATTTCCCCTTTTGGCGGCTTTTTGACGACATCACCTTTTTGGGGGTTCATTCTGAGACAAACCCTTCTGCCCTCTTTTAACCATGGAAACGGGTCCACAGAAGGGTACTTTCATGATTGCTGAACAGAGGGTGGTGATGCCGGAAACCTCGGGAGCCGCTATGAGCCGCTTGCGACGAGGGCGGAAGTCCACCTGTCCGTCTACGAGGCCTCCGGCGGCCAGCTCCCGGCCATTGGACGCCGCGCCAGCGTCCGCCGCTTTGGCGGTTTGGGGGGGAAGGTAGGGGGGCTGGTCCTACAGATGGCTTTAGCCCTCCCCCGCAAACGGGTGATTTGTGGTTTGCCCTTGCCTTTGCTTCAAAAACAAGCCGCAATGCGATCAATTGCCCCCAACCACGCACATGATTTCTAAACCCTTCAACGCAAGCCGCAATGCAACCCCCAAGATTACATCTATTTTTTCCCGGTTCGATCCCCGTCGACCCGTTCACTTGGCTTTTCGCCCGAGGGAACATTTCGCCGGTGGGGACGCCCCCGGCGAGCTCCATGCGGGTGCAGCCGCCGCCGCCGCTGCACCGCCCCATGCCGCCCCGGAAACGCTCGGCCGCTGGTGCCAACCACCCGGTGCCGCCCACAGAGAGCATGAGCTCCCTCAACGACAGGTGGGCCGGATGCGGTGCCCGTGTGTGGCCATGTTCATTCTATATTATTATAGAGATGCGATATATACATATGTAATATGTATGCAAAATATGTATGTAAGAGTGCATGTTTTTCCCATGTGGGTTGGAGCTATGTGTGCATATATTTCTGTCCAAAGAGTTTTGGTATCTTCCTTTGCATATTGGGATATGATTTCCGCAGCCGTCAGGGGGACCCTTCCAGGTTGCTTTGCTTCTCCCAAATCTCTGCCCTCAAAACTAGACACAGTCACACGTTTGTTGACAGGGCTATCAGTTTCAGTTGGGGAGCACCCTCCAAACTAGTGGATGGTTATATAGTTGTATACATTCAACCACGCAAGTGACGTGCCTCAATAGGATGCTCAACAATGGTTGGTTAGATCCCTGTAACATTTCATTTGGGCGTGTCTTTTTTGGAGGGTATTGCTTTTCGGGGTTTTTGAAAGGCGAGACATGTCTTTTTTGGGGTGTCCCCTAGTTTGAGACATGAGAAAGATCCCCGGGCAGCGAGAGCTTGCAGGTGCGCGCAGCAGTTCCTGTCGAAGAGTGGCACGCTCTGGCCGCTCAAGGGATGGCGCAACAAGACGCCGTGCAGCAATATGGCGGGGGGGCCGTGAGTTCGTGCATGTCTGTCGATATCTGAGTTGGGTATGGAATTCCAGGTTTGTCCTTTTTGAGACTTCGAAATATCCGAATGGGTGTCTCTTTTTATTGAAGCCAACATTTGCCAAAGAAACCAACAGGAAGCTCACCATTTCAGAGGCGCTTGGAGCATTTTCAGCATTTCAGAGCCACAAGACACAAGGGATTGCTGCTTTGAGGAGCACTTTGAGCATGGGCTGAGGCTCGAGGGGGATCTCCCCTGGGGTCAGTACCCTTTTCTCGGGGTGTCAGGGCACGAAGCCAATGGCACTCGCTCAAACCACATCCTTCGGGTTCTTCTTTTAAGTATTGTCTGAAAACAACAACTGGGGTTGATCAAAAGGTCCTTTGCAAGCTTTGCATGGGGTCACCCTGGGAAAACCACCAAAGAAGATGTGGTTTAAACATAAGTCCTGAAGAGCTGATCTACGGGCATCAACAAATAACAACAACAAGGCGACCCTGTTTCTTGACCCCCAGCTTGTTTTTGGGCTTACAAACCAAAAGATACCATGTCAACAAATGCAACCGGTTTGGGGTTGAACAACTGGTACATTGGTTGAAAGGGCAACGTCTTTCTCATGGTTCAACCATTGGTTTCACCAGCAACTACTGAAAAGGGCACCAACTCCAAAGCACACATGTTGAAGTCACTTTTAACGGGCTACCACAAGTTACAAAAGCACCCATGTGGGTTTGTCTCAACACAAGGGAACCTTCAACAATCATGGTGTTCCCGTTGGTTTCCAATGAAAACGACCGTACCCTCAAGAAACATACCCACGCTACCAATCTTGGTACCTCAAAATGGTGTCCTTTTCTAAGGGCCCTGATGCTTAGGGAGCACCTTCATGAGCAATCAGAATTCCCTGCACAATTGAGCAACCCATTACTGTGGACGAAATCCGTTTCGCGCCACTTTTTGCAGCCATGGTTGAAACCACAACGTTTGTTGGGGAATCAAAACATTCACCAGGGTTCCTTAACGGTGCTGCAAAATTGATTTCCTTGGAGCCATCCGCAGTATTGACATGACCCCTCCCAACCTCCGACTGGCTGCGTCCTGGAAGACCAACCGTGCCGGGGCGCCAGGGGGTTCGACGTGGCACCCGGAATCCCCGCGGGACGTTTCTCCCGCGATCGAATCGAGGACGGGCCTCGACACCTTGGCCGGCCTCGAGGCAACCGGACGCTTTGGGGAGACCACCGCGGTGCCTCGGAGAGCGCGAGGGACGAGATTGCAAGGTTCCGATGGGGTGCTGTTTTTTTTTCTTGGGGGGGGAGGGGGGGAACCAGTGTTTCTTTTACTGGCCCCGGCTCGGGGCTTAGCCGCGGTCAGGGGACTGGTTGGTTGGTTGCTTGGTTGGTCAGCTGGGCGGCCGCATCCCCAGCATCCCCAGCATCCTGGCCTCGCTCGGACTAGGGCTGCCAGTCGGCTTTGATTTGGTGGCAGTTCAGAATTGCTCCGGGCTGGTTGGGTTTGTTTGGGGTTCATTTGGGCTTTGCAAAGGGCTGATATCCAGGATGCTGTTGGGAGGGTTTAAGGTTGACTTTGAGTCGCTTTGGGTTGGCTTGGAGCTGATTTGCACGAGGTGTGCGGTACTAGCCTTTGGGCTGCGTTAGGGACGTGGCCCACAACCAATCCCAAAGCAGCCCGAAAACTTGCGCAACCACGCCCCAAAGGCAAGTGCAAAAACCGGGCCGCACACCTTGCGCAAATCAGAGGCCGGTTGATGCTGGGGATGCTGGGGATGCTGGGGATGCGGCCCACCAACCCGTTCCCCAGCCTGGCCAACTAGCCCCCAGAGAATACAGCCTGTTGCCCCCAACCCGAGAGTGAAGCAGCCAACCTCTTTAGAGCCACATGGGGGAGGCCTTATGCTGAGCCGGGGCTAGAAAAAGCCGGGTCAAGCAAACACCTCAACCGGGGGGGGGGATTTATGTTTTTTCAGGTGATTGCTGGGCGTTTCCAATCTTGTTTTTGGGTGTCCTTTGTTGGGTTGTTTCGATATGTGTCGATGGAACATAGCTTAACCTGGTTTCATAATCTAGAGCCATCCAATTTCCCAAAAGCGATCGTTTCAATGGAAACCACAAGTTAATTAAACTTTTGAAGGGGACATCCAGTGATGCCTGTTTGATTCACTGCCCAAAGAAGCATTCAACCCTCCATTGGGAGGTCGAATTGGACCTTCAGTGGGATGTTTGGGAGCTCGAAAAAGCAACCATTTTGAGGTACGTACCAATATTTTTAGGGTGTCAGTTGCTAAGTAAAGGGAAACCAAAAGGAACGCGTTTACTGTTTGGGCAAATTCTCTGGAGATGGTACTCGCCAGAATTGCCATTGGGGAAGGGGGTTCGCCAAACTATCCAATGCCAGCCTCCTATCTGCAGCATGGCCAAGACAAGTTTTCCGTGTCCAAGGACTTTGGGGAGAAAGTGAAGTTCCTTGGCCGGAGCATTGGCGGGAACCTCAGATTGAGCAAGGTGCCGGTCATCTGATATGTTTAAAATATTTGAAAAGTATAGCTTGCTTCGTTGGTTGCAGGGCGTTCAAGCAACCCAAACCTGGCCACGGCCAAAGTGGTTTTGACATAAATCCTCACCTAAATGGGTGTGTCACGGTGTGTTCCTTCGGTTCTCCTTCCGCTTCCCCTTTAAAGCCACAATTAAACAGGGGTACCGAGTCCAAAAACAAGGGCTGGCCCAAACGCTTGACGAAAGGGTCGACGAAGTCTGCCCGCGTCTGTTTTACATGGAACCTGACTGTCGGGGGATCCTGGTGTGGACCATTTTCCTTCTAAAGGGACCTGCCAGGTTCCGTGTAAAAAAGGGGAGGGTTGTTTATGGGTTTTACCCGTATGCGGCGGGTTCAGGCAAGGGAAGAGCAGAGGCGAGGACGCTCTGGGTCTGGAGCCTACACCGATGTTTTGGTCGGCGTTTGGTTGAAACCGGAAAACACACAGTCAAACCAAGTCGGAAGCGGAATTGCCTGTACCTGGATCCTCAAGATACCCTCAAAATGGGATCTTGCCTCAAAATTATGGGCTGAATTCCAATTGTCATAGGTAATTTGAGCGTCCAGGTACTCAGAAAGGCAGGTCGAACAAAAGGTCCATGCGGTTCCGTGAGAAATTAAAGGAAGTCCCGGAAGAGCAAACCAGGTGGCCCTTGCGTTTGGGAATTTGAAGCCTGGCCTCTAAACCACCAATCCAACCATAGAAGCTGAACGGGTCATTGGATCCGCCAGCTCTCAGATCGACTCAGGACCTTGCTCAATTTGCCCGTGGCACGCACACAGGCGGCGTGCGCACAGGCGGGGAAAGGGGGGAGGGGAAGGGGGAAGGCACTGGGCCTTGAGAACGCCATGTTTGCTCCGGATTCCACGTCGGCACGGAAAACCACGAAAGCTCCATGGGATGGCCAGACAGTGCAGACAGTGCTGGCGCTGCGGTTTGTTTGCTTTCTGCCACATGGGATGCTCTCAGGCTGTTGAGTTTTTCCTCGTGAGCGTTGGCCGGAATTGCACATTTTTGCGAGCTGTACAGCCAATTCACTGCAGGAATCTGGGCTCCGAAGGAGCCGAGTGCGCCGCTGCCTAGGCCCCATCTCTAGATGGTGGCATGTATGATTCATACATCGTCTCACTCGCGCATGCGGTTTGCATGAGGCGCATCGATGCAAAAACTGCAGGTCGACTTCTAAGTCTAGCCAGCATGGTGACTTCGGGGTCATGGACCCCTACATGAGTTTAAACAACTGTTATAAGGGTTCCTACTAAGGGAACCAAGGACCATGGCCCACAACCAACGGAGTTTTTCTCAGCACATGACGCCAGCTTGCAGTCGCGCTGTGCCGCAAGCTGCCTCAAGGGCTTAGAGAGGGGATGTTTCAGGGGTTCCCTCCCCCCCAAAGAAAAACACCGCAACACGCAGCCCTCGCAACAAAACTGCAGACCCGAGGAACACGGAGCTTGTGTTTCCAATTCACCAGCCATGAGCAGCAATCCGCCGGGGATCCCGGACGAGGCGCGTGGGTGGGGCCTGCAAATTGGGGTTTTCGCGTGTCGTCCTCTTGCATCGCCAGGTGGATGAGCTGGTGCAGGAGTCACGGTTGGCTGGCCATAGCCTACGAGCGTTTTCATGCGACCTGAGTGATAGTCCAGGATGAGGGGGATTCTGTCCGCAGCACAGCTTGATCATCTCAGCTGCCTATTGTATGGCGAGCTCATTTGGCCAGGTTTTTTGGGCGGTTTCGATCGGGCAGGAGATCAACAATCATCCGGCCAGTAATTCTCCGAGCAAGTCGCTTCCGGCACTTAGCCGGGGCCTTGAGGCAAAAGTCGCAGAGGAAGTCGCCATGTTCGGGTGCAACCTGTTTCATCTCATGCATACATAGATGACCTATATTGTATATATATATATATATATATATATTTATACATACATATATTACATAGTTCTGTGTGTATCTGAACCTAAATTTATTTCAATGTATACCGTGTATCGCAGCATTCGCTGAACTGGCGCGCCGATTTCCTGCGTTTCCTCGCGAGGTAGCCAGTCGATTGCACTGCTGGACCTGGCTGACGTGTGTAGCCCTCAGATTGGCCACAGTGGTATCAACGGGTCCTTTAGGTGGGATGATCAGTGGTTGGAAAACCACCAAAAAGATATTTCCCAGGTTACCCATGGTCATTTGGGGGCCAGGAATATTGATCAACCCTGAGGGACCCACAACATGGGTTGGGCCTTTTTTGACATGCACGCAAATTGCCGATATGGTTTTTGTTTCGAGGCGGGATTTTCACCTTTGGGGGCTGCTGTCTTTCCTTTGGTTTCCATGTTTCCCTTTAAAACTTGCAGAAAGGGTACCCTCCAAAAAACATACCAAATTCCTGAGGTGGCTGGGTGCATGAAGTCGGGGAAGAGGGGGAGCTTGGGATTTGAGGCAGAAGTTTCTGGTGGAGAACCAGGAAGTGGGGAACGGCCTGGTCTCCAAAGTCTCCCTCCTGGTGCGAAGCTCGGGACGTTGAGAGACTCCCACGTCTTCGACCTTCAGGTTTTGCATGGTTTCCTGTGGCTAGTGGAACTGGTCCTTTCAGGTGAACCCCGACAATATAAACATCAATGTTCGAAGCAAGAAGAACCACACCTGTGCGGTCCTTCCCTTTTAACCCCTGCAAAAACCATCAAGCAGCCATGTCTTTCAACCCCCAAACCCTGCAGACCCCTTTAAAACTCCCCAAGAACAAAGATCGGCCTGATTCTCAAATTCCTGATGTGGGATCGGGTGTGAACGGAAGTTGAAAGGGGGTGTGGGTGGTCGGGAAACACCAACTCAATGGCTGCAAACTCGGCACCGATCGACAGATGAAACTCGATTTGAATTGGGTAGCCTTTGTTTCAGGTTGGCTTGAATCAGCTTTTCAGGTTCCCTGCAATTGGCGGTTTGGATTGGTGCTGAATGTCAGGGTTAGCTCATGGTGGGTTGGGACTTGAACCCTTCGTAGAGGCTGAAACCCAAGCTCCGCACCTCCAAACCACCAAGCCAAACCACGAAGGGCTACTTTAGTCGTTTGGATTGGTGGGTTTGGGGGGTTTGAAGCAGTTCTTGTAGAGGGTAACTGGGAAACCGCCTCCGAAACCCCACCAATCTCCTGGGTCTTCCGTTTGCTCACTTTTTTATGGTGTTCCCTTGGTTTCTCAGGGGCACGGTCACTCCTGGACCTCTTCTTGGCCCATTTTTCCGGGCCAAGAAATTGGCCAAGGGAAGCGGCCAGGTGCCCCAGGCCTTGAAGGATTGGGAGCTGGTGAACCTGGAGACCCTCGGCGGGGAAGTGCACTCGGAGTCCAAAACAATTGTTGGGGGAGGGGTGAGGGGAGCCCAGGTTGAGCATTGTGAAAACACCCAGGTTGAACCTGGTTTCTGAAATGTTGTTCGCCCCCGGTTGGTGAGTTACAGTGAATCCATGGAACTTGGGGATCCTCCAAAATGCCGTTCTTTTGACACCCGTTGCAGTCACTTGGGGTGGACGGGGAACGGCAAGCCCCAGGACCCTTGGGTGTTGTCTTCTTGGAGTTGGTAACCCCTTTGGGTTTTGAACAGAAATCAGGGGGACACGAAGACTCATGGGGATGTCCCCATCTTGAGACAAACCTTTGTGATGTGACAGGAACCCCCCTCCCAAAAACAAAAGATAAAGCAAGCAAACCCAATTTGAGGTGGGCGAGTTGTGACAAAATTCATACCACCCAGAACAGCACTTGGGGTGCCCTCAAAGCAGTCCTTGGGTTGTGCTGGTTCTCATTTGTTCAACCAAACCCTTTGGTTCCGTGTTGGTGCTTGTCAATGCCCCTTGCCACTGGAGGATGCGAAGTGAAGTTCTCGACATGTTGCTGGAATGGCTTACACCGCTGCAGTTTTACATGGAACCCTAAAAGCGGGATAATATTCCTCGTGTTTCTTGCTTGTTGGAATTCTTGCTTGTTGGAAAAGCAGAGTCAACTGCGACCTTGGGGCCCCCCCAAAAAAAGAAGAAGAAAGCAGCTCTCCACCAAAGGGTCTTAAGGCGTTTCCGGTTGGACATATTGTGTTGGATCTATGGGTGTTCCTTTCTTTGGGAGGAACTCTTCAGTTCGTTTGGGTTTAAAGGGACAATGCAAGCTTTGTTGTTTTAATGGCAATCGATGAAACAAAGGGGCTGAGGTGCGGAGTTGTCATACGAACATATCAGCGCTAGATACTTGTAGTATGCTTCGCGTCCACGCCTCCACATACCCGAACATGCCTGACAAGGGGAGCCCAAAGTTCAGCTCGGCGCGCTGAAGCCGGCTGCATTCGAGAAGATCAGACAGAAACTCTGGTTGATTCAATGGGGGGCTAAGAAACTGAGCGAGCAGACCGAGGCTCCAGGCTCTATCTCGCACCCTTTTGTTCGGCTTTCTTTGGACGTAGGGTTGGTTTGTAAAACAATGTATGACGCTGGTTTTCATTCGGTCGGGTTTCTGAAGCTGAGCCTTTCTCATGATCTTTCTTGAACTTCGAGTGGCGCTTCTCTTTCCTATGCTGGGAGCTTTTTCTTGGAACTGACTCGAGGAAGCTCGTTTCGAGATCTTTGCGAGCCATTTGGGGGCAATAGGCATGGGCCGACGCCCTCGCGCCGCATCGAGGAACACAATCCTCAAGCAGAAGCTGCAGGCCGGAAATGAATGCCGCGTAGACCGTGTGCATTGCTTGGTGCTTGCCTTGCCCATTTGGCGGTTCCCGGCTTCATTGGGGTAAGGCGTATACGAAGCCTAACCGTCTTGCCAAAACATCCATGCGTGTCAGGCGCTTGTCTTCGGGCCGCCGGCTTCGCGGGATGCCATATATGTCAAACCCAATAGAAAGCACGGTTCGCAATTTCTTTGGAAGGGAAATCATGTCCGTTCCGGCCCCCCCCCAAAAAAAAACCAAGAAGAATAATGCTGGCACCTCAAAAGTCAAAAGGGTCCTTTTTGAGGTGCCACACCCTTCTAGTGGAGGTTCTGAGCCCTCCAATGGAGGGTCCAATGATTCTTAGGGCACCCACCTTCGAGGCGCTCCAAGTTCCGATAGATGAGCTGCTGGAAGAGGTCAAGCTCAGCAAGCCAGCCCGGCCCAGATTGTGCGTAGAGAACCAAAGGTGCAGGTTCTGCTGTTGGTTGAACAGTGGTGAGACTGGGGAGAGCTCCGAGGCTGGTTTTTGGGTGAGATTCTGTGGAATGTCCCTGATCCCCCAGGTATCAAGCGTAACATGGATTAGGGTGCAACCCACAACGTATGTTGACATGCGAAAAACTAGGGCTCAAACGTCAAATAAGTTGGGAAGCCACGGCAAGTCACCGACATTTCCCCTTCCCCCCTCCCCCCCAAAAAAGAAAGAAAGAAAGAACGAGAAGAACAACATAATTCAGCAGGTGGTGGTGTTGCTTGATCATGGATATCCGGGAAGGATTGGCCCATCCATTCGCAAAGCGGAAACAAAGCCAACAAATATGAACAACCCAAACAAAGCAGCATAGATCAACACATACAAACAAACAAGCCAACCGCCCAACCCAACCCCAACCCACCCCACCCAACCCAACCTAACCCCGCCCAACCCAACCTAACCCAACCCAACCCAACCCAATTAAAATAGATAAAGCAAAAAATCACAAACCAACCAAACCAACCAAACCAACCAAACCAACCAAACCAACCAAATCAACCAAACCAACCAAACCAAGTCAACCAAACCAACCAAACCAACCCAACCAAACCAACCAAACCAACCAACAAAACCAACCAAACCAACCAAACCAACCAAACTAACTCAACCAACCAACCCAACCAACCCAACCCAACCCAACCCAACCCAACCCAACCCAACCCAACCAACCAACCTGCCAGCCAGCCAGCCAGCCAACCAACCAACCATCCAACCAACCAACCAACACAAAAAAACAAACACCAACAGCCAAAATACGTGGACACCGACATTGAATTTGCCAGGCTGAATCTGCCGGGCAGCCCGGAGCCGGCTGGCACGCACAGCGAGAATTTGCTCGGGGCGAGCAACGGCTTTCGGAGGGGCCGAAGGGCCAGCGTGGCCAAGGGCGGCAGGCCCGGATAACGGGGCCGGGGGGGGGGGGGAGGGGGGCCATGGACATGTAGAGTCTACTTTGCAACCCCAAAATGTAGAGTCGTCGTTTCGGTGTGTTTGGCTTTGCGAGTAAATCCCGATGCCCGGTGGTGCCTTAATATGGTTTCTGTGGTGTTGCACAATGCAACGTTGAGAGTAGTGTTGAGTATCGCCTTTTGGAAAGGTCAGTGTTGGCTGACGTGAGGTCTGGTCAGCATTCCCTTCTGTATTTGTGGGCGGGCGCTACATATCGAACGAAACTTAGAGGGACCAACTCTAATTGCCCCGTGTTCTCCGGATCCCTTGACCGTGGCCCGCGTGGATGTGTCGTTTAAAACAAGGTCTTCTGTTGGGCTTATTCCCCTCCCAAAACAAAAACACAAATCCACAAAAACAAACAACAAAACAAAAGCAAGATGTGACTCCCTATTTAATCCAGCCGGCTGATTGTTTGTTTCGGTTCCAAGGGTTCAGTCCGCCTTGGCGCAAATATTTGGCGCATTATCATGGAAGCTGACAAGAAGGTTTTGGAAGGCTATGTTCCTTTTGGGGAACCTTTGTCCACTTCGCAAATGATGTCAACCACGGGCTCCCTCCAAAGACTCACACCCATTTGATTTTGGTTGCTCAAAATGGCCCTCGATTCTCAGCGCTAGGCCTCTCCTGCGCCGGAAATCCTCCTTGACTGCTAACCAGGCAGGGAGGTTCGAGTACGGTGTGTGTGTGTGTGTGTGTGTGTGTGTGTGTGTGTCTGTGTGTCTGCGTGTCTGCGTGTCTGCGTGTCTGCGTGTCTGCGTGTCTGCGTGTCTGTGTATCTGTGTGTCTGTGTGTCTGTGTGTCTGTGTGTCTGTGTGTCTGTGTGTCTGGGTGTCTGTGTGTCTGTGTGTCTGTGTGTGTGTCTGTCTGTGTGTCTGTGTGTCTGGGTGTCTGTGTGTCTGTGTGTCTGTGTGTCTGGCGTGTCTGTGTGTCTGTGTGTTGTGTCTGTGTGTCTGTGTGTCTCTGTGTCTCTGTGTGTCTGTGTGTCTGTGTGTCTGTGTGTCTGTGTGTCTGTGTGTCTGCGTGTCTGCGTGTCTGCGTGTCTGCCTGTCTGTGTGTCTGTGTGTCTGTGTGTCTGTGTGTCTGTGTGTCTGTGTGTCTGTGTGTCTGTGTGTCTCGTGTCTGCGTGTCTGCGTGTGTGTCTGTGTGTCTGTGTGTCTGTGTGTCTGTGTGTCTGTGTGTCTGTGTGTCTGTGTGTCTGTGTGTCTGTGTGTCTGTGTGTCTGTGTGTCTGTGTGTCTGTGTGTCTGTGTGTCTGTGTGTCTGTGTGTCTGTCTGTGTCTGTCTGTGTGTCTGTGTCTGTCTGTGTGTCTGTGTGTCTGTGTGTCTGTGTGTCTGTGTGTCTGTGTGTGCGTGTCTGCGTGTCTGCGTGTCTGCGTGTGTGTCTGTGTGTCTGTGTGTCTGTGTGTCTGTGTGTCTGTGTGTCTGTGTGTCTGTGTGTCTGTGTGTCTGTGTGTCTGTGTGTCTGTGTGTCTGTGTGTCTGTGTGCTTGTGTGTCTGTCTGGGTGTCTGTCTGGGTGTCTGTCTGTGTGTCTGTCTGTGTGTCTGTCTGTGTGTCTGTCTGTGTGTCTGTCTGTGTGTCTGTCTGTGTGTCTGTCTGTCTGTGTCTGTCTGTCTGTCTGTCTGTCTGTGTGTCTGTCTGTGTGTCTGTCTGTGTGTCTGTCTGTGTGTCTGTCTGTGTGTCTGTCTGTGTGTCTGTGTGTCTGTGTGTCTGTCTGTGTGTCTGTCTGTGTGTCTGTCTGTGTGTCTGTCTGTGTGTCTGTCTGTGTGTCTGTCTGTGTGTCTGTGTGTCTGTCTGTGTGTCTGTCTGTGTGTCTGTCTGTGTGTCTGTCTGCCTGTCTGTGTGTCTGTGTGTCTGTGTGTCTGTGTGTCTGTGTGTCTGTGTGTCTGTCTGTGTGTCTGTCTGTGTGTCTGTCTGTGTGTCTGTCTGTGTGTCTGTGTGTCTGTCTGTGTGTCTGTGTGTCCGCGTGTCTCCGTGTCTCCATGTCTCCGTGTCTCCGTTTCTCCTTTCTCCGTGTCTCCCTCTCTCCGTGTCCGTGTCCGTGTCCGTGTTCAGGATACTTAGTAAGTGTTGTAGCCATGGGTATATACAAGAAGACTAGCTCCAGCTGCCCCAGTTGTAGCCATGGCTAAGTTGGCGGAGCTCCCAAGGAAAAGTCTGGAGGTACTCCCCAAAGTAGGGCTTTGCTTCTCACAAAAAGGCGGAAGCAACACAAGCCCACCTAAAGGTTGGGAGTGTTGGGAGACCTTTGGTTTCTCTAAGCAACACACCCACCCGCATGTCGAATGGGGAACCGGGAATTATACTAAGACAAGTATTATTGCTAAATATTTTAATGTGTAAGCCCCACCTGAGAAGGGCTTGGTGGACATGTATCCCCACGAAGATCATGCCCCATAGTAGGCTCGGTCAACATAACGGTTCAGGTGAATTTTAGGTTGGGGAGAGAAGGGGACGAGCAACAAACATTTAACCACAAATATCAAGGGCGGCGAACTCATTGTTTGTTATGCTACGGGTCGAGCTTTGCAACGTTTTAAACGTGATTTGGATGGACAACTGGACAACCCCTTGTTTGGTTTTCTTTGGTTTTAGGGGCTCTTAATGTTGAGACAAACCCAACAATTGCAAAGCATATGGGAAACCCCGCTGCACTCAGATGTGTTGCGGCCGGCCTTGCATGGCTTGTGGCCGCCGAATCATGTATTTTGAAGGATCTTGGCATGTGCAGCCGCCCATCTTGGAGTATTGGAGCACAGATTGTACCCTGGCAGCCGGTAGGTGCTGCATCCCCTTATTCGCAATTTCGATTTATCCATTCCAACTTGGTGCAAAGCGGATCTGGTCCACTGGGACCTCAGACGGCCGCCGTGTTTGTGTCCTCCGGCCGGACTTCGATCATCGCAGTCGCATGAGCTGGAGAATGCGCTGCAGATCTCACCCACGGCCATGGCGCAGGCGGGTTTCCACGTCATCCCGGGGCAACGGGGGGTTGGGAGGCTTTCGGGCACGAACGTGGAAGTTGCCAGGTCACGCGCCCGTGGTTCTACCTGGTTTCACGCTTGCAAGGAGTTTCTCAAAATGCCCCCCAGCTCGGTCAAAGGGTATTGTTCGACATAAGGCCCAAAATAGTTATATATAGATCTTATTACGTTTGATGATCATGACTGAATATGGTGTAAAAGTCCCCGCCACCCGCATTCAAATGAATTCGACCTTTCTTTGTTTGGCTTTGCATCCCCAAGATGGATCTCGTTCTTCCTGTCGGCTTCCTTTTGCTCACCAACCCCAAACAGGGTACCACCCAAAAACGACACCGCGATTACCCTCCCCCGACTAACATGGGAGTGCACAGACCCCTGTAGAAACACGACTGTCGTCTTCGAAAGGGGCTTTGTGCACTTCCATGCGAGTGATATCCATGAAGGAATTTGACATGTGGCACACCATCCTCTCAAGCTGTGAAAAGAGCGCTGCTGGCTGAGTGCATCATGGGAGCCAGATGTCAATTGGTGGGAGCGTATCGGACCCGAAACCATCCAACGCGGTGAGTGCCAAACTGCGCCAGCGCCAGGGCCGGCCCAACACCCCGGGCTCCCGGGATCCAGCGCGGGAGCGCCGGGAGTCGCGGGAGATCGATGTCACCGAGCACGGGGGCCAAGTCGGTGGGGTCAAAAGCTCGTGGCGCTTCTTTTGTTTGCGGTTTGTTTTGTTTGTCTTTTTGTTGTTGTTGTTGTTTCTGTATTTTTTTGTTTCCCTTCGACCAGAACCTAAGAAGGTTCTCAGGGTTGTTGTTGGTTATTCAGCTCTCAAGCTATCTAACCAGGTGTTCTGAAAACAAGAGGTCTCAGCAACGACTCGGACAAGTGGTGGCAGGTGATACTTGGCCTGGACAGCACTAGAGCGAGTTCACTTGGGTGTTTGGCACCCCAGTTCCCGATGCCCGAAGTCCAAGGGAAGCGCTGGCAAGTCGCATGAAGCGGGAACAGCAGAAGAAGGAGAGCGGAGAGTCCAGGGCTCTGAACACTGGAGACTTTTGTTTGAAAACCCCAAATGGATTTCGGTTTTCCTTCTGGTTTCCCCATTCACACCGGCCAAAACAGGTTCCCTCAAAAACAGACAAGCCTTTGTGGTTGATTTGCTAGAAACTGGATAGCGATTCCTGGTTGACCTTGTTTCAGAATCTGCCAGAGAAGTCCATGGATTTTCAACCAAAAGGACACCGAGTCGCCAGAGACTGGTGAGACCAGTGCGTTTCACTGCTGAAGTTGAGAAGCTCTGTTAGGTCGCCTCAGTAGCGAAGCGACCTAACTTAGGTGGCTGCGGTTTAACAATAGGGCACCTCCAAAATGAAATCTGCCTGATGGTTTATTTTTGACCCATACCCAAGTTTTGGATTGCGCTTCAGCCCTGAGCTGCGTTTCCTTGCCCAACGGGTTTGGTGGGATATGGTTTTCAGTGCGCTGGTTCGTCTCCAGGGAACCAATACGCATAGGTGTGGGGCAAGATCTCTACAAAGATACTGTACTTCCTGCACGGATGGATAAAGCCATATACAAATTGGATAAACCACCAACCCGAGCTGATTAAGAATCGGCGTAGACTTCACCCCCCGGAAATTGAAACCAATCACCAATTGGGAAGCTGACAGAACCCTGTGCTTCCAACCGTAGTCATATATTAGGTAGTTGGGGGAAACCATCACCTGATGAAGATACCTGGCAATGGTGACTGGAAGCACACGGGAATATCTCCTTTGCGTGCAAACAAAAAGCGACGCAAATGCGCAACCGAAGCCTGCGAGGATCTGGCCTCCATCAAGAACTGGACGGCCAAAAAAACTGCTCGCCAAAACTCCAGGCACTCGAGGGAGTGGTACCCCGAGGACAGGTAGGGAGCCCGTTTACGTGGGAAGTTGAATAGGGTTGTGATCAGTAAACACCAACTCAATGGCTGCAAAGTCGGAACCGATCGACGCCAGATGAAGCCCGATTTGAATTGGGTGATACCAACTGGCGCAAAGCGGGCTTTGTGCATCCACAGTGGCAAAGGGTCCGTTCGCAGAGTGCACTTTCCTTTTTTGGATCTTCCAAACGTGGAAACCCATCGTTTCAACGGAAACCGTCAGTCAATTGATCAATTTCAGGGGAAATCCAGGCAGCCCCTGCTTCAGGTTGGCTTGAATCTAATTGGCGATTTGGATTGGTGACTGAATGTCAAGTAGCGCTTAGTGGTTTGGCCGGGTGGGGTGGAGGTGTGGAGGTTGGGTTTCCCAGTCAGCCTCTACAAAGGGGTTCAAATCCCCAAACCACCATCAGCCAACCCTTAGTTGGTGCTTTGGATTGGGAGCATTGGAGGTTTGGGGTGGTTGCGGAGTTTGGGGGGTTTGGGGGGGGGTTGGGGGGTTTGGGGGGTTTGAAGCCCTGGTTCTTGTGTAAGTTGGAAACCACCTCCGTACCACCACCACCAATGAAAGCCGCGACGCAAAGGGCAACCTTCCGCATCTCCGGCAGGTCCAATGTGGAGCTGACTTCTCAATCCACCACCCACCTTGGCGAGCTCACTTTGGACCAGCAGGCCGGGGATTTGAGCTGAGACGGAATGGGGAGCAAGTAGGTTATATGTATATATCCCAGGATATCAAATTATGATAATGCTGTATATATATATATGAACACATATGTGTATATATAGGTCAGGCATACACAGTAGCACGCATGGTGGTTTGCATCCCTCTGATCCATTGGCACTCTTGAGCTGCCCATTGCATCCCTCTGATCCATTGGCACTCTTGAGCTGCCCACCTGATTCCTCACGCAGTATACTGCTGCTGCCGCATCACCAAAAAGAGAGAAACGGAACAGCAAACTGCCTTGAGCCGATTCGGGGAGTGAAGCCTAGATTTGGGGACAGTCGCCACCCTTGCTCGCGTACATTCACGTAGCATCCCCCAGAAGACTTGTGTGAAGCGCCTGCCTTGCTTGCCATTGCGGCTATCCACGAGTTTACCTTCCGGTCCCTCCCGGCGTAATGAGACGTGGCTGGAAAGTGGGCGATTGGATCAAGAGGTCACGTGCAAAGGTCCCAACCTTCTCCCCCCCCCCCCTCGAAGCCCAAGCAACAGGAACCCAGTTCCCTCCAAAAACCAGACGAGGCGCGAGCCACTGCCTCGCCTTACAGGTGGAGCAAGAGGGCAAGGTCTTCGGCAGCCCCGAGGCGCGTCCGTCGCATCCCACGAGACCCGAAACCACAGGGGCTAAGCGCGCTAAGCGGGCCTTACCCAGATCCCAGCGGCAAGCACTAGACCAATCAACTAATGCCTTTTTCCAGCATATTTTTAGTGGCCTTCAACGAAGGGCACTCGAGGTGTTTTGAAATGAGGGCACTTAAGGCAGTGTCGGTGCCCTAAGTGACCCTTTGATTCGTTTGCTAAGTGCCCTTTTTGGCTTGATAGGGGTTGGGATCCTGTTGCACTCGAACAGCTACCCGTGTCGAAGTGTGACCACTGCCACAATTGATTGGGATTGACTCGGAATGGCCCGAACATGGTGTGTTGAGTGTCAAAGCGTGTCATTTGAGTGTCAGTGAGTGGGGGTGCGAATCGAGGTCACTTACCCCTTGAAAAAGTCACTTACGCTAGTGTCGGTCCCCCGCCCCCCCACGTGAGTGTCATTCGCGTGTCGCTTGCTGGGGAGGGCAACCCTGAGGGTCTAAGTGCCCTTTGAATGGCTTAAGTGATCTTTTGATGTAGGACGAAGTGATCTTATGTTCAAAATGGATCATTAGCACCCGAAAAATGAATCGAGGGCACTGAAAGGAAGCTGGTTGTTATTTTTCCTTTTGGGTGGTTCGTGGTTCCCTTGGTCACCTACGAAACCAGGTGAACGGATTCACTGCGTTACCCAGTGATTCAGGGGGTGTGGTTCAGTCAATGCCCTGCCAAGTGGAATGTTCTTGTTGGTCCCCGAGCCTCTTTCGGGTCGCTCAAAATCCAAGGAATGAATCTTGGTTGGGCAAGTCCCAGGTTTCTGCATTGTGGGACTATAGCACTTGCCCCCTTACAAAGCAAGACCAAGAAACAGGACAAAACCACAAAGCCCCCCATGTCAGGCGCTGAAGGACGAGGTGCGAAGGGCCCTGCAGAAGGAGGACACGAGCCCGGGGCCCGGCCGCCCCGAGTCCCGAGTCCCGAGTCCCGAGTCCCGAGTCCCGAGTCGCGGCTGGCTCATACCCACCTTTATCTTTAGGCTATCGACCATCTAAAACAACTCCGGCTTCATCGTTTCAGCCGCTTCATTTGTTCATAGTTAAAAACCACGGGCTTCATTGTTGCAGAGGACCCTGAAGTTTACAAGATGCGATGCTCATCGGATCGCGAACCAAGCAAAGGCTCAGTTGCCCAAAACAAATCGACCTTTTGATCTTCCCATGTTGGTCATGTTTAGTCATGACCCCAAAAGGTTAACCTTTTGTTTCTGGGTCCTTTGGGCAACCAGGCAAAAGGAGGTATTTGCCATGGAAAACCAGGTGTTCATCCACGGTGTAGGGTAAGTGTCCTCTTTCTATTTGGGTATGTGCCTTTTTGTTGGGCTCCTTCTCTTTTTAACAAACAGCCCAACAGGAAGCCCGAAATCCATGTTGAGGGGTCCCTCAAAAGAGAGACGCTTTCTTCGTTGTTTTGGTACCCGGATCTCAGCAGAACCCGTCCCAGAGGGGGTGTTCCTTGCAAACCTGAACCAACCCCCAAAAGCGGACACCTCCCCAATCAAAGCCAGCCAGGGTCTATTGCTTCGGTCCCATTAGATGGGCCTGTCTTTTTTGAGGCTACCTCTTTGAATTCACCTTTAAAGGAGAACCAAAAGGACACCGATTTCTATTTTGAGGACAACCCGTGAACCTGGAAAATCCCCATGGCCACATCCGGATCGGATTCGCATCGGATTTGCATTGGATAGGTGTGGCAAAGTACTACAAGGACAAGGGACTGGCCCAGGCAATCGCGAGGAGCCACCTTTTTGAGGCGCGGAAATGGGATGGGTCGAACAAGAAGCAGTCGCTCGACGGGCACGGTCGAGCAAAACCAGAGCCCAGAATTTGTTGTTTGCTTTTTTCAAGCTTTCTGATGTAGATCAAACCAGCACGTGGATTGCAAAGCCAAAAATAAGAGATGGCAACTCGGGGTTCGTCCAGCAGAACGTGTGCCGTTTCGTGCATTCTTTTTGTCCCAGGCACCCATAGGAACCATCCGCGTCTTTGGGAGCCACCGATGAAACATGGGAACCCCACTTCTTGGCGCGAAAAGAAGCCAGCAAGCTCTAGACTGGGTGGATCGTTCCCTTTTTGTATCCTCCGAAAGTGGCGATCGCTTTCGTGGAAATCGCCCGTACATTGATCAACTTTTGAAGCACAGCCCGCCATGGCCCCGGGGCCAGGTCTTCACCTTGTCTCTCATTGGCTTGAACTGCCTCTGGCGCGGGTCCTGGACTTGAGGGGCTTGGGAGGTCAGCCCATGGGGAGAGGGCCAGAAATGGCGATGATTCTTGGTGGAAATTCGCAGATCCCCATGTATTTGGAACCCAAGGCAGAGGAAATTATTCTTTTGGGGATGCTTCCGTTTCTCAGCAGAGTGCCCTCCCATCACGCCCGCTCGCCCACCCTGCATGGAATCTGACCGCGCCCTGCGAACCATTTTCGAACTCAAGGTGTGCAGGTGGTTTTGGGTGGCCACCAACATGGGAAGCCCAAAACTCCCTGTTGTAGGCTCCAAATATAGAACTCTGGAAGTGTATGCCGAACTTCCCGAGTCGAATATGGGTGTGTCATATTCGGTTTGTTCTTTGCTTTTGGCTTTCGTATTCCCTTCAACATCCTTCAACCCAACCCTCCAAAGGGCATCACAAAAAGTGAGAAAATGGAAAGGTGCTTCGGCCATCAAGGCGAAAGGGAAGACTCACCCTATTTTGTGTGTGTCCTCTCTTGAGGGTTTCCCTTCTTTTGCGGTTTTAAAGGGACACCGAAAGTAAAACAACATTTTTTCCTTTCGGGGGGGGTCGTCTAAAGAGCAGAGCTGCCCACTTTGGTCTGTGGCAGTCAGTGACTCGACTCGAGGATGTCTGTGGATGCGGACCTCAACGAAGAAGCGCTGCTCCCGCGGGCTGCTCCGCTCTTTCAGGTCGCAAAAACCGGTGAGATTTGGAGGGTGGGAGGAGTCAACGGGTCCAAGTTCCTTGTTATCGTTTTTTGTTGGAGGGGGAGTGAACAGGGGGTTATACCTGCAAATTCTAGGGGGAAAAGACCATGTGGGGCTGTTGTTTCTTTTGAGGCCATCGCCCTCTTTTTGGCGGTCAGGGAGAACCGAAAGGAAGACCACCATTCTGCTGGGTCCTTGTGGCGTCCACGCAGATCCCTTTCCGGGGAGTGGCAGACGCCAGTGGAAGTGCAACTCAGAATTATTGTAAATTTGCTTGTTAGAAACACACCAATTGAGCTTCCTTGCGGTTAAATGGTGGTTGTCCTTTCCCCTTTAAACCAAGCTGAAATGGGCATCCCCAAGACAACAGAAAGCCACCTGGAATCCATCTGAATCTGGGTGTGTGACTTTTTAGGGAACCCAAAAACATGGTGGTGTCCAAATTGAAAACCACCAAAACACTAAAGAGACACACATCCTTCCATCTATTCAATTGTGATTGTGATTTTTTGGAGACTCCGTCGCAGGTGGCTGAGAACCTCTTCTGCCTTGGCTTCACGATGGAGCTGGCAGTGCGCTTTTTCGCGCTCAAGCACAAGAGGACCTTTTTTGACGTTGGACCATTGGATGCGTGTGTTTCCTCCTCTCTCTGTTTTTTGGTGTGTGTGTGTGTGTGTTGTTGTCTTCTTGTGAGTCTCCAGATTGTATTTTCTGTTTCTTGTTTGTGTATTGTTGTGTTTTTCGATGGTTTCTTGATTTACTATTTTGAGCTTTTTCTTATTGCGGGGTGGGGGGGTGGGGGGTGGGAAATCAGCCGTCCCTTTTTGGTTATTTTCGTTGCCAAATGAATGCCCTTCGGAGTTGGTACGCGGAAGCGACGCCAGGAAATGCCTGAAAGACATGTGGTTTCTTTTCGACTCCTTCCTCGTGGTGCTCGCCTAAGCCAAGCGTCTCCCCCAAAAGCGAGTTGCATCCCCCGAAATCTCGCTCAACATATCTTAAATGAGCCACCTCCAATCACGATTAGCCTGGGGGGGCATCCGGGGCTTGGATCTCTTGTGCACAACTCCGGCATACAGCCGCCAAGCGCTTCAGATCCTTATGATCATGGAAGTGTGGGTGGTCTACGTCGCGCTCTCAGCAACTGCAAAGTCGTGGTTCGGTCTTCGGGCCGGCAAGCGGGTGTTGGAAGCGGTATTCTCTTGAAGCATTGCACTCGCATGCCCACGCATACTGTGGACGAAATCCTGCACCACCTAAGAAACCCTGGAATGATAGATCCCCTTGCAAATACCAGCCAAAAATGGCCATCCACAGTATTTCAGAGGAATCTCTCCTTCCCCGAATTGGGGGGGTGGGGGTGCCGTGGGCCGTGGCTCCGAGATTGTGGTCATGGTGGGCGGCGCCGGCGTGGGCGTCTTCCAGAACGCCACGATCCTGCGAATCCTGCGAGTGCTCAGGCGGAAAACCTGAAGCCAAGACTCGAAAAAAGGAGGTTGTCAGGAGACGACCCCTGTTCTGGACCCGTCATGTGCAGTGCCTTTTTTTTTATCTTTTTTTGCCGTCGATCACAGTCCCAGACCTCCGAGGCGATCCCTTTCTTCACCTTCGGCATGCGTTTTTAGGTGGTTGGCCGATTTTTTCGTCCCGTTCATTTTGAGGGGGATGCACAGACCAACTTGTTTTGCGACCATGCCAAGGGTTGGGAAAGCGTTTTCCTTGCTCAAGGGGGTTTTCTTAAGTCAACTAGTACCAAACATGGTGTTTTGTGTTTGTTTTTTTAATGGACATCCACGGGTCTGGGAAAATATTTTACTGTGTGTCCGGTGGATTTGAAGACGGGTACCCTTAAAGCACGCCCAAATCTGGATGGAGACATTGTCCACGCCAGGACCACTGGGGATGGATCGGTCTGTTTTATGGGGAGCTCACCTGGGAAAAGTACGAGTTGAGGATTTCTTGTCTTTTTTTTGTGGAATGATGGTACATTTTGCAGATGGATGAAGCCCTGCCCACTGCGAAGCGGACGTTCTTCGACAGTATCACGGGATATTAGAGGGTTCGGTTGCAACACGTTGGGTTGACGGGGGACTTGCCCGGACTTTCATGCTGCCCCGTGCATGCCGATCCGCAGCGTGTTCGCCACTGTCGAGGGGGGGAGGAGGGAACCCGGGGGGTGGGGGTGGAAAGAACACGGGAACATGTTTCCAGCACGTCGAGGCCAACCCATGCTTCAAACTAGTCGATCCCGAGCCCCCAGCCGTACACACCATCTTCTCCGCTAGCTGCGCGCTTTACGCGACTGCGCAGTCCCGACACGCTGCCAGTTTGCCGCAGGTGGTTTGAGACACCTGGTGTCTAAGAGGGCTTGGGGTCTTCTTGCGTTTGAAGGAGCTACCTTCCGTCTTTGTCTCCGCTGCGCTCTCGGCACCGAGCAGGAACGGAAGGAGTTATCAGCGCAGCTCATGACTTGTCTGCATACCCAGGGCAGCCCGGCCTGGACAGCTGCATGAAAGTGTTGGTGGCATTCTGAAGGCCTCTCACAAAGAGAGTCAAGCCACAGCCCGTATTCGAATCTGAGGTTCGAATACGCGAAGTTGGACATGCAGACTTTCCTGTGATCCCACCGAAGCCACGATTTTGCTGCTATTTGCGTAGGATTTGCACAATTCCCAACCCACGACAAGAGTGACCGTCGTTTTGTCCGGGCAGCCCCCCCCGGCAACCCAACGTTTTTTTTAAGCAACTAGGCCCATTTGGGCCCGCTAAGGGAAGAGAGAACCCAAGGTGGTTAGACAGGTTAAAGTGACCCGACCCTGGGAAGACTCAGAAGAGACAATGCAAAACAACCACATCTGAGGTGCAGCCAGTAATTCTCTGCCAGACCGGTGGAGGATTTCCACGCAGATCTGGATTGCTGGTGATCTAAGCATCCAGATGCGGTTTCATCCAGCCCGGCAGGGTTTTGTCCACTGTATTTCTGCCATTTCCCCTTTCCACTTGAGAGATAACCCTTCCGGCGTCACGTATGCTTGGCCCAGCCTGAAGCTATATTGTTAAGCAACCAGCTCCCCTTTGGAAAACCAAAAGATGCTGTTGAAGCAAGAATCTGAACTGCCACCGGCTTTTTGTCGGGGCGTGTCTCTGAGCACTGGGTGTTTCAACGCTGGATTTTGCCCTCACCACTCTCCAGCCAAATCGCTTCGTTCGCCGATAGGCTACTGAGAACCGCCCGCATGGCGAAGCTGCTGCGCACAATGCCGGAGCTGATGTTGCTCATCAAAGGCCGGTCTCGGTCTCATGCTTCAATGTTCAACCAGCTTAAGTAGGTAACCGGGGACGATCATCCAAGCGACCCAGCCTTCGCACCATCGTTGCAACGTTAAGTTGGAACACCCTGCAGTCTTTGAGATGAAGGTGCTCTTGGTGGTTTTCAAAAAAAAGCCAACAGTTGAACCGCGCAAGGGGGGTTACCTTATTTGGAGAGAAACCCAATCTGGTTTCCCTCGAGACGAATGCAAGGGGTACCTTGACTCAACATGAGTTGGCCTCCTGGGATTTGGAACCAGGTGGAAAAATCATCGACTGTTTTCCCCCAACCCAAGGGTTCAAGGAGAATGGGCTCTGGGAAGCTAAACAAGTTCCCGAAAAAAGACACCGACATGCAAATCAAACAATTCCTTTCCCAAAAGTTTGAAGGTTAAGTTGGCAAATCCGATGTCGAGGTAGCTTTATGCCCCAAATTGTTGTGTTTGTTTCTTCTGACACCAGCCAGAAGGAATTGTCCGGCTAGAAACCGCTCTTTTCGACTCACCCCATCCATCTCCCATCGTCGGAAACCATCCTTTCAACGACAAGGATCCCTGGAGAAAATGGACGTGGCGAACACGGCAAGTCAATGAAATCACCTGTTTAGAGCACAGAAAATAATATGCCTACAAAAGGGTAGATATGAAATTACAGCACATAACAGGTCCAGCGCAGAACTGAATTATGTAAATGTGTTGTATAGACACAACTACAGAGATACATATTAGATAAATGTAGAAATGAATGAGCATTCATTGAATACAGCAATTCACCCAATGGACACTTTCTGACCGCAAGACCCAAAAACATAAACGAAGGCAGCATACAGACCTGCTGCACCATGAGGCTGTAAGATTAGTTACGTCGGCAAATCTCTAGGGGCAAAAAGGGCTTTGTAAACACCATATAGCCACTACATAGATCTTAATGTGGATGAACAAAGTCCATTTCGCACCAGCTAAGAAGCCCTGGGAAAGCGGTGATGAGAAAGATGAAAGCCAAATGATTTCGACGGATTTCGGCGGCGTCAGGCATGGTGGTCGCCACCAGATCGGTTTTTTTCACCCTGGCGCTGCTGGGGATCATCATCTACGCCGGCAGCTGAGCTCGTCTTTTTTGGGGCGACAGCTGGCCAGCCGGCTCAGGAGAATGGATGCGATTGGAAACGGAAACCCCTTCGCTTGCACCAAAGAAGGAGCATGGTGGAGCATCCGATTTGTTTCGACACATTTAGGGTCCAACAGTGGTGGTGGTGTTGCTGTCTGGTTCTTACAGGTTCTCAGTAGGAAAGAAGAAGGGTGGGAATTCCTTAAACATCCAGTTGAAATGAGTTGGATAGTTCAGTTTGGCAGAAGCAAACGGGCGGGGTCATTAGTGGGATTTACGTCCACTATCATTTTTGGCATTGCAACCATTGAGTGTTATTGCCAGGTGTTCCAAGAGTGTCAAACTTGATGGGCTCTTGTAAAGGGAAAATTGGAAACCACACCCTATAACCTCCAAGCAACCAATCCACGCCGCCTACTTGGAGGGAAGCGTAATTTAGACCTGATTGGATCGTTGGACCCATGCCTTGTGAAAGGGCGGCTTATCATATCTGCTGTGCAAGACTGCTGCGACCTCATACTTGAACTGGTATGGCAAAACTGGCAGATCTGGACAGTTTGGGATTGACAGAGAGTCTAAATACTCGAGTAGTTGTTTGGACACTCGACTTGCTGGACAGGACGCGTGTGTGTGTGTGTGTGTGTGTGTGGTTTCTGTGTGTTTTCTGTGTTTTCTGTGTTTTCTGCGTGTTCTGTGTGTTTTCTGCGTGTTCTGTGTGTTTTCTGTGTGTTTTCTGTGTGTTTTCTGTGTGTTTTCTGTGTGTTTTCTGTGTGTTTTCTGTGTTTTCTGTGTGTTGTCTGTGTGTGTCTGTGTGTTTTGTGTGTGTGTGTTTTCTGTGTGTCTGTGTGGTCTGTGTGTGTTTTCTGTGTGTTTTCTGTGTGTGTGTGTTTTGTGTGTGTGTGTTGTGTGTTTTGTGTGTGTTTTGTGTGTGTTTTGTGTGTGTGTGTGCTTGTGTGTGTGTGTTTTGTGTGTGTGTGTGTTGGAGGGTACCTTGTCAGGTTTCAGATGGAGGTTGGTGTAAAAGGACTATGCCATATACGCAGGTCAGGCGGGTCTTCCCAAAGCTAAAGCCGGACCTACAGGGCCTCTTGTCGTCTGACACGGGAAACAGACCCAGGTTTTCGCGATCATTTTCATGCAGCTCGCCAGAGACACGCCTCTGGAAGTGGAATACTTCGGCAGGCGCGAGAATGGCTCAGATGTGGGTTTTTAGGAAGTAACGGTCACGTCTTAAAGGGCCCGGCTCCTTTGTTTTTGGCAGATGTGATGATGTGGGCGTGTTTTGCAGGGGTGGTGCGCTTGGGTTCCTCTTGAACCATCCAAGGCAAAGGTACCCCAACAGAATGACACTACCACATTTGCCATGGTCAAACCATGTTTTTGCTTGCGGTTGTTGGGAGGGAACAGGAGACTCGCACAACCATTGTAAGGGCTCCTACTGTGGATGGACCAACACCTGCACTGGTTGGGATGGATGACACCCTCTGAATACTGAGGCAAACTACTTGCTGGTGCAAAGTGGATACTGTCCATCTGCAGTATTGAAAGCGGCATGATGACCTTGCCACAAATATGGGCATGTGTCACAATAGGGGAACCCTAAAATGCGTGTTTGTTTCTGGTTTCCCTTTAAGCCAAGGTGAGTAAAGGACCAACTCAATAGACACAACCCCCTATGTCCAGGTTCGGCGAGTCGATGCTGACTTTGCTGCTGGAGGCTGGCCAGTCCTTCTCGCGAGAGAATTGGCGTCCCTTTGCCCTGTAGCTAATCCATTTCGCACCACCTAAGAAGCCCATCATAATTCCCCAGGAAATGCCAACAACAAATGGGTTAACGGTTCCCATGGTTTCAAAGTGGTGTAGGATTTCGTCC